TTTGGTCCGTAATGGAATGTTTTAATTTTTTTTTAAATCACTAATTATATAGCACATATATTATGCTTAAGCTATTTTAAAATTGAGTAATTGGCACAGTTTGTCCATGAACTTTGAGCATACTGATATTTTATTGCATGAACTTCTTTACTTTAGGATATTAGTCCTAAACTCTTATTTTTTTAACAGTGGTCCCTTAAAATAAAATTAGCGAGCAATTTCTAAAATTTAATAAACATAATCAAGTACGCATCTCGTGATAGCTTAAAATTTTACATAAAATTTACGTTATAAGCAAAATTTTCTTTTCGTTAATATTAAAACATGTAGAATACTGTAACATTTTGCACTTTTATAACTATTTTAAAGGTTTATTACTGTGACACCCATTGTATTTTATTAAAATTACAGTAACATTCCCTTAACTGAATTTAATAACAGCAACACCCCCTATCTGAAACTCTGTTAAATTTTAGTGAGAAATGTCAAAACTACCCATGTGTTAAATTTGTTTTCTTTCTTTTTATTTGATTTTTTTAATAAAAAAATTGTGTTAGGGTGTGTTGTAATATTTTTTAAAGAGTTAACGTAAAAATATGTTAAAAAAAGTTAATGCATTTAATTTTTTTTTGTATTATATTTTTTGGTCATTAATGTTTAAGTTTAATTTAAACCATTTTTGTTTTATTATTAGGATAAAATTGTTTAATTTAATTTATTCGTTCAATTAAATTAATTTTATTTATAATATAGTTGGTCCTAATAATGCACTAAATATTAAATGGTTTTTAATTTAATACACTATTTTAGTGGATGGAGAACATTACTAAAACAAAGCATTTTTAGAAAAAAAAAAGAAGCAAATATTTATTTTTATTAGAGTGAAAATTATACTAATAAATGTGTAAAAATTAACTAAACTCATTTTTTATGCTAAATAAGGGTATAAATGAGTGAAAATTATACTAATAAATGTGTAAAAATTAACTAAACTCATTTTTATGCTAAATAAGGGTATAAACGTCTTTTCTAATATTATGTACAATTTAGAAATATTATCCGGTAAATATAGGAGCATTTTTGGCATTTTCAAAAAGTTTAACAGTTAAGATTGATAGTCAACTAACGGAGGGGGTGTCCGTGTAATTTTTATAAAAAGTCGAGGGGTGTTGACATGATTAGTTTCGGTCAAGGAGGTGTCTATTATTTTGACAAAACACAAAGAATGTCAGTGTAATACGCCCCTATTTTAATGTAAAATTTTAGTTATTATGCGATAAAGATGTGATTATCTATATTAAATTCAAATTGTTCGTCAATTTTAATATTAGGATCAAAACTGTCAAAAATCAAAAGTTTAAACAATAATATAATAAAATTAAAAGTTTAAAGACTAAAATGTCACTATTTTAAAAATTTGGAGTCAAGCAGTGCCAATTACCCATTAAAATTTTGGTGGGCATTGTCTTCATTAGCAGCAGCCCTTGGCCATAAAAGCTTTGGCCCAAGCTTTAAAGGAAGAATAAGTCCAGACAAAGAAGGAAATGGAATGTCTATCAAAAGAATTGCTGCAGGTGGACTGGACCAAGACCTTCATTATATACGAGTGGTCTATGCGAGCTCTCCTTTAACACTTTTTTTGGAACCGATGGTTCGGATTTAAGATTTAGGATTTAGGTATAAGCTTTACAAAGATCAAAATACTTGAAATATTTTGTCATCTCATTTTAGTCAGTTAGAATGGCCTTTCGCATGTAAAAATTGTCTATAATTCGTAGCAGTTATGAAGCTCAATGTTTAAAATAATGCTACTCAAAATAACCTACAAAAATTTACAAACACACAACACAAATGCTTAACAACAGAAGCATCAGACAACTGTCTTAAAAAAAACAATTAATGTAATCTCGATCCGTAAAAAAAATGTCTAACCTGAAGGTTCAAAGAAAATGAAGATGACAAAGATAAAGGTCAAGAAATATATAGTGCGTTTAAAACTCGTTCTAAAATGATTTTATTTTTTATATGAAAGTGAAAATGAAAATGTTTTCAATCTTAGATAGAAATTATTTTTGAAAATGCGTTTAGTAGTTTTATCAAGATATTATTTTCAGTATAAAAATATCCATAATTTTTCATTTCTCTCCCATTTTATACTAAACTAAAAAATCGTTTTCATTTCTAATTTTTTATCTTTAATTGTGCTAAACACCGTTTCTCTCCTGTTTTTATTTTTTTCTTTCTCAAAACACGTGAAAAATAAAAATAAATCAAACTCCAAACTCGGCTATATGTATCCATTACTCTTATCCATTTTCTGTGCAAATACTCCTACTTGAACTAAAGAAATGCTAGCGTTTAAATACGAGGTATGAAAATGATCCAATTTTGGTTTAACATTTTTTTTTTTTTTTGGGTATTTATCTAGGAGCTACCACCTAATATTTCATAATGGGTCAATAGATAAATATGATTATTATATTGTTTAGGAAATGAATAAAATTATTAGTCGCTCACAAACAACAACATAGAGAGTGTTATTTATTTTTATAAACCTACTTCGAGATGCTTTTGTAGTTTTCAAGGGCTTATAAATAATTAGTTTACCTTAAGCTTATATTTACAACCAAGGTAATGATGGAAGTAATTATAGGGACCTGAAGGAAACAAAAAAAAATTAAAAATTAAAAAAAAGAAAAAGAAAAGGAAAAAGTGTTTTTTTTTTTTTTAATTTTTATTTCCAGCTTACTAATTAACTACACATGCTATGTAAAAGCTACAATTGGGGCAAATCTTCTACATTTATACTAGAAATCCTTTACTAAAAATATGAAACGTATTAACTGTAAACCATGTCGAAATCAAATAATTAAGCAAACCTTATAAGTTATAATATATGTGGATGAGTTTTAAATGGTTACGTTACTTATCAAATATAGAAATTTAATGATATAAATCTAATTTCATTAATTGTCGTAAATTTAACTATTTAATTTATTACAACCGTCGGATCAATATCACATAACACCGACTGATAGATAAATATTCGAGTAACCATTAAAGCCACACATAGCTATATGAATAAGTTTTCAATGGTTAAGTTGTTTTCATAAGTGATTGCTCATCAAATATAAAAATTTGATAAGGTAACGTAATAAGAATCTAATCTCATTAACTGCTATATATATTTTTGGTCAACTATCTAATTAATTACAACAATCATATCAATATCTTATGAATAAAATAATCACCCATTAATAGGTAAATATTAGAATAACCATCAAAACTACAACTATAGACACACACACCCACAACCATAGACACGCACACAAGTCACAACCACAAGCATAGACACATGTGTGTGCACGCGCACACAACCACAATCATAGACACGTATGGCACCGGTAAATAACAGATTCGACTAGTAAATTTGAATGAAACACTCAAAAGGATAATATGCACCGAGTTCCACAAATAGACACCCAAAAAGGTAACTAAAGATTAAGCACACATATAACTCTTTAATACATCCTCTATAATCGACAGAAATACATGATCAATTGATGTCGAAAGGTCATAGCACCCAAGGCCACACAGAAACTGCAAAGAACAAATCTAGCAAACAAAAACACAACGAAACACTAAAGAAAGACAGAATCAAGTCAAGGTAAAAACGCCCTTATCACATAAAGGCAAACAAAAACAAAAAAAAACAAAAAAAGGAAAAAAAGACAACAAACAACAATAACAAAGCTTCTTGCGGAGAGACGACCTTCAATGCTTAAAACACATAGGAGAAGTTTGGGCTGAATGAGGGGAAAAGCACCATCGATGTGCCACTGAACCAACACATGTGCATCACACGTGCAACTTAATACAATCACCCAACACGACACTTTTAACACCGTCAATGGGATGAGACCTTAAGAGAGCAAAAATTCTAAGGAGACGTTTGTTTCTTATATTCGTTATTGATTCTAAATTATGATTCATGAGTCTCTACCGTATTTTTCTCTAAAAAAAAACACGTAAAACGAAAATAATTCTAAATTATAATTTTAAATTTATGGACCAAACGTCCACTAAGTAAACCCACTGAATAAGTGACGCTTTGAAAAAAACCATCCAAAAACTCTCTTTCTCTTCTCTAGGGTCGGCTAAGCTTATATTATTGGTAAAGATAACTATACCAACAAAAATAGTATACCGAGTAATTTATATGATAGTGTATGATTAATGGTTATTAGTTTATATGATCGTGTATGATTAATGGTTTATTAGTTCAAAGATTAAACCTTATAATTAAAGTTAAGTGGTATTGCATAAATTGATCAACAGTGGAAGGCTATAACTGTAATCGAATGGTTGGAGGCATAGTTTCACAGTACATCCACACCTGACTTCATAAATATATAGGATTCAAATCATTAAAAGGAAAAAAAAAAAAGGAAAAGAAAAGACGATAATCCATAAAATAATAGCAAAACCAAGAACATGCTTATGTGAATATCCCAGAGCAAAATTATATTGACTGTGTTTAAAATTAATTCCGTTTTTAATTTTTACATTTTTTAAAAAAGAAAAATTAAAAACGTTTTTAAAATGACATTTGACGTAATAAATACAAAAAATAAAAATGAAAACGATTTTTTAATTTAGTATAAAATGAGAGAGAAATGAAAAATGACTTTCAATCGTTTTTCATTTTTTGTTTTCGTTTTCTCCTCTCTCGAGCAGAGAGAAAGAAATAGAGACATTAATGAGTTTTTTTTATACTGAAACCAATCTCTTGATAAAACTACCAAACGCATTTTCAAAAATGATTTCTGTCTGAAATTGAAAACATTTTTATTTTCATTTTCATGCAAAAAACAAAATCATTTTAGAACGAGTTCTAAACGCACCTAATTTGTTTTTACGATGATTGAGAGCTATGAACAATTTCCAAAGTAGAAAAAAAATAGACTAGGCGTATAATAACACGAGCAAGAAAACGCTCACAAAAGGTTTTACTTTTACCATATACATATTATAATCTCCTTTTAATATGAATCAAATTAGACAAACATATTTATAAATAATAACAAATCTCACCAAACACTCGCAAATAGAATTACAAATAATGATACTGATGCTTCTATTAAAGACCACCCCTTCTCCCGCACACAATTTTCTTCTCTTCATGTTGTTTATTTTGGGGTAGTAAAGCTAGAAACAAAAGCATCTAAGATAATTGCAAAAAAAATTGTAAAAAAAAAAAAAAAAAAAAAAAAAAAAAAAAAAAGGCCAATACAGTGGGAAGAAAAAGGGAAATTATGAAAAAAAATGAATAACAGCTACTTACATATGTTATTTATATAAACACCAAATGATTCAATTAGCAGCCAGCTGCTTTCAAGAATTTGTCATAAGGGCTTGAAGGCGGTAGCCTGAAAGAATGCTGTCCATATCCGCGCGAACAGACGAGAAGCTGTTCCTTGACTCGAACTTGCTCCTTGTTTATCAACTTTAAGTCCCCTTCTGTATGCTCCTTTGTCTGACAAGAAAAACCAAATTAGTATGTTCATCTTTGCAAAAGATAACAATAAAGCTTCATGTTGCTAAAGTTCTGCAGCTCAAAATAGTTATTTACTAAGAATATTATTGTATCACACAGCAAAGTCCACAATCCTACTTGAGCGTTTATGTTCAAAATAAATTCATGATGTTCTGACAATTGTAGTCTATGAAGTACAACGCGACGAAAATTAATCTGCATTCTGGAATTTACTGGCACCTTCAAAAGTGTCAAAAGTATAACAATTGTAAGCATAGCAGCTGTTTCCTACAAATTAGCGGTTATTTTTATTTTTTTATTTGTATTTTATCAGCACATAATAGCCCAATTGAAAATTTCCATGTACACAAGTAAATAAAAATTATGCAGACATGTTTCGGGACACTGAAATCATAACTTGAGAATGGATTAAGTATTCAAATCTTTTAAGGAGATCGGGTTTCACACCACATATTTATGAGCAAGGATTTGATCAACAATTGCTTTATCGAGCACGACTGAAAAGCTCAAATTCAGTGACTTTGGTGCTGGGTGTTTCCAAAATTGGTGTTGCGTCAGATCAATTGAATAATAAATGCATTACTACAGATTTCACATGGATTGCCTACCAATGCTATATGAGGCAAAGCAACCGGCCTATCAAAATGGGAAAAAATAGAAATGTTTGTCCCAAAAAAGAAAGAGAAGGAGAAAGAGAAGGTTTATACAGTTAACAACTAAGAAAGTCTTTACCTTTCTTATTTACTTAAATGAGAAATTTCCTTACCTTAGCTGACAATGGGAGATATTTGCTTTCATTTACACTGGAAAGGACTATTGCATTTGCTACTTGCTGCTGCTGCTGCTTAAAACTATGAAGTACCGACATCTTTTGCTGTTTACCCGTCACAAGGGCTTCACACTGGTTTTTCATCTGGTCATAAGGAATTGGCGTTGAGGAAACTGGGAAGCTTGCAACTTGGCGTGCTGTTTCCAGAACCTGTTAGTAATAACAGGAGCCAAATTATATCCAATGAATATGAATCCTGTAGCAGTGGTTTTCTGGTAAAACATAGAAATTAGCACAACGTGAACAAGAAAAATGATCAGCAAGAAAAACGGTAGCGTTTTTTTCCCTCTTAATAGAATGCATTTTTCTGGTATTTTTCTTTTGTTAGGATACAATAGCAAAAATTAATGGTCATCAGAAGCTCCTGATATTAGACAAAAGAAAAAAAAAAAAAAAGTGTCAATGGCCTTTCTCCAGCCCACATAATACTTTCAAGGGAACTATAGAAATTGAACCATCACTGAGAAAGATGTTCCAAAACTGAGATAAAATATGAGCACTGTCTTACAGATTCTAGAAGCTGATTAACACTCAGAATGTCAAGGGTATTGATGGAGATTGATGTTTTGCGATCAGATTGGCTTCCACTTGGTTCTGGAAAGGCTTCTTCATCTATTAATGCAGCTGTAGGCATCATCTGAAACCGAACACTTAGTCAAAGAAAATGGTTACTACGGCCATCAAGACAGAGAGAGAAGAAAAATTAGTACCTCGTCAATATCTGGAAAATCCATATGGGCAAGAGGAGAGCATGGTCGTGGTGTCTCCATGAATAATGGAGCTCCTAATAGATATGCATCATCAGGTGAAAATCCCTGCGAGAATTGCTTCTTGATGCTTGATAACTCATCCTTCAGAGAAGGGAAAAAAGTGTCAAAATGTAAAAGAAACCTGCTTCATACATCATCTGTGTATGTATCGAAGGATAACAGACACAAGTTCAAGAATTAAGTTTTATATGTCCTCAGAACCTTGATTTTAGACTCAAATGAGCGCCCTAAGTTAAACTTGGAGCACAAACTTGGGCTTTACATTTCTTCAACTAAAAGGGTCCAATTCTAGCTTTATTTAGTACAAACCCAGAAACAGCATGAACTTGGGTAAAAAGCAGGAAAAATAAGTAATGCAATTGTGTTGTTTAATAATTTATTTTCTTGGCCCAACAAGGAGTAGTTTTGAAAAACTTAAGAATTGTTATACATAAATATTATATATAATATTTCAAAATAAGTTCAGTATGGTTGGCCTGTCTCTTATTTATTTGTTTATTGTCTCCTCTCTTATGAGGATTCTTATTATCTTTAACATTTGACTCGGAATTAAGTTGCTTTGCACAGCCTCAACGTTTTTTCATTTGTGGATAAAATTATTAGAGAATAAATTGTCTGCCTGCCAGTGAATTGCATAAAGGGCATTTCACTACTTGAACCATGCAATAGTTCTATACAAAAATGAATCTTAGCCGTGTTAATGAACCAAGGAGAGCAGGATTCACATTCAGCTGCTAATAAATTTCTACAAGGAAACTGCAGCAGAGAAATTGTTATATCACCTCTGACAATTTTGCGAATTTGGTCATGAAGTGGGATATCACTGTTTCTTTCAACTGCTGGTCATCTAATTTTATTGCTGACAGAGACTTCAATGCACCAACTTCATCTTCCTGTGATCCATAAAAAATCTTCCCCTTACCAGACTCCACAAAAACAGCCCGCAGACAAGCATCGTCAACCAACTGAAGATGAGGATCAACCTATTGTAATTTAGATCATTAAAAAGGTTAAATAATATACATGTCAGTTTCAAGATTTTTACAGGACCAAAAAAAAAAAAAAGCAGAGGTAAAAAAAGAAAAGCATATGCATTTGAAATATAAGGTGCAGAGATTAACCGTTTTATTCGTCAAATATGCTTTAACAAGAGGAATGAGCTCTGGAATATTTCCAATCCTAGCTGAAAATATAAGCATGAACGATGCCAAGGTAAAAAGTGATCTTCTACGAGAGGGCTGCAGACCTCCTATAATAAGCATCAAGAAAACGTACATTAGAAACAAATTAATGAAAGAACAACCCAAATGGTTTTAACAGACAAGCTTAAGATTTCTTTTCTAGATGGTAGTTTCCAAATATAATATACAGAGGGAAAACCGCAATCCAAGCATTTGAAATAGAAGTTCCATCTTGGAAAGACGAAAGAGATTTCTTGGCATTTTACTTGCAAAGGAGTGCTCACTCAATTATAAATCAGTTATTTGTACTTGGCAGTGTTGTTCTGACGTGATTCAAAACTGCGGACCACATTGTCTAGTATATGATGATATACAAGCATAAGCCATTTTGCAAAAAGTCAATCCCACTGCAGGAGACAAGTACTGAAGCTGGGGGAGTGGCGAGAGGAGAATCCGGTTTGAAATTTTCCAGGTTATTTCCTTTTACATCATTTTTCCTCGTAGAATGATAATCTATCTATTTGGTTTGTACCTATTGGGTAACTAGAAAAACTACTTATTCCACAAAAATACACGTTTTCATATGGCTCCAGTGCATGGAAAGATTAACACTAATGATGTTATGGCGGTGGGGCATTTGGTTGGCGAAAAAATAGTTCTTTATGGTAAACACTATATTATGTTTTTTTATCTATAGGAAGATAGTACAGTACCGTACACCATGGGCCTTCTAGTTAAAAGAATTTAAGAGTTTGTCCTCTTGTAATATATATATATATATATATATGTATATGTATATGTGTATATATATATATATATATATACTTTTTTATTTTTTTGTGTTTCCCTGTCTGGAGAACTCCTTGTTCTTCTAGACAGCGAATCAGAATTTTTATTTTCTTACTAATAGAGTTTCTATTCCTGATCTGAGTAAGTACATGAAACCTACTGCATGCTAATAGCATCAAATTATCTGCAATTATTTAAAATAGTTAACTAGTGTCCTTAAAATAGATAAGAGATATCGCAGAAGAGTAAAGCACTTACCTTCTTTACCCAGAGAGAGAGTTCTTAGGGAAAATGCTAGCTGGAAGCATCCAACAAGTGCCGCAGGATTGGAGGTCTATCACCAGCATAACACATAAACAAAAGTGTTAGAATATCCATTGAATAAAAGCATTGAATCACTTTCACTACATTCCAACATAACAATAATATAAACTGATTGTTGCTCTTTCTATGAGAATCTCCTCCCCCGTACATACTCCTACTCTATGTCAAGGGCATCTCAAGTAATAGTGTCAAGAATCTTCTTTATTTATCTGGAAAACTTGTTTCCTAGTAAAATTCATGCACTGGCACGGAAGGTTGTTTGTAATTCAACTCAGATTCCTGGTGATAGTTCAGGAGGAAAACTGATACCCTCAAAACTGAGCCCCACAACATTCCAAAGGATCCATGCAAAGAAGTCTGATCTTATAGTAGTACTCAAGACAATCCAGAAAAAAAAAATAAATAAATGAGATTATATTTCGCAAGATATACAAACTCACTATTCAAAAACTTAAATCTCCAAACATATTAAAACTTCAGGATGAAGAGACAGGAATGCACACATATAAAATGTCAAGAAGCGTGCTGCATAAGGATGAGAAACGATGCTAAAGAAATAAACAATCATATAAAAGGAAACGAGTAACACCATAAAATACATGCGGAGTCTAACCTTAGATCGGGTAGACAGTAGAGCAATGTTATAAGTGTGGGCCATCGCTTCAAAATTTGCAGGAGTATTTTCGGCAGAAGTTGCCTGAACCCAGATTGATGAAAGCAAAAGACTCACTTGGTGACTGCTCAGCTGAAGCGCAGTTAGTTCCTGGAAGTTTTAGCAAGTTTTTTTTAAAGCAAAATGACAAGATATTTCTCTCTAATTGATCAAATAAAGCAAGAATAATCTTTCATAATTGTAATGTTTGCACTAGTTCAATACTCATACAGTTTTTATGCCGACCAAAGCACCATTGAAGCCGTAGGATTGCCCAGATTGCTTCGTATAGACATCTGACATTTGACTTTCTTTGTCTACCATTTCTCCATCAACGGTCACTGCATTGCCTCTACTCTTGTCCTGAGAGGAGAATCTTCCATACCTAACATCCTGCATTGTACTTACCAAATTTCCAGAAACATCTTCTGAAAGCTTTATTTTCTGGTCTAACCAAGGAGAAAGTACAGTTGGCATAAGAACCATAGACAAAATGCTGTGTGCTCCAACTCGTGTTTCATGGTCTGGATGGGTCATTGCTAGGAGTAGTTGATGAAAAAGTGCATCAGGAAAAGCCTGGAGAAAGTTTACGAGTAAAAAACTATATCAAGACCGAAATAGTAGTCTAGAACGTGAAGCAACATGTGCATGACGGTGCACTAACCTTATTGTCGTAATACATATTTGGAACAGATGAGACAATTTTTGCAGTTTGGTAGACTGCAGAAATAGTTGTTCTAGCAACAACTGTACTAGTTGAGATGTTCTCCAGTACCATAGCCATCATATCAAGAATGGGACCAACATCTCCAACCTATTAATCAAAAAGTTATCTCAATTTACAATATTCTGATATACGTGCCATGCCTGACCAAAAAGTACATTAGCCCATAAAAAAAAAAGAAGCAGAAACACCTAATTTCTGAGCACTATTATCCAATTTAATGTGTTTAATTCTTACTTTTACTTTCCAAGCAAAAAGAAAGAAAGAAAAAGAAAACTCCGACTTATGTACTTCCAAACAAGAAGATTAAGGAATTTATAAGCATAGACGGAAAATTGCAGAATTTAAAATCACGACCTCCCCGAGGCCACAGAAGCCATAGCATTTTGCTAGAAGTGTACCAATTATTTTGTCTTCCAATATGGGAATTAATTCCAAATCAAACGAAAAAATGCATGTCTGTTGCGACTTGACACCAAAATTTGATTTCTTCATTGGCTCAATCCAGAACTTAAGTCGCAACCTTTAATAAACTAAGTCGATCATTTTGATTTTTCTTTTTGTTATATCTAATGGACTAAGTCGACTTGACTCCAAAATTTGATTTCTTCGTAGGTGCAATCCAAAATTTGATTTTGTTTTTATTTTTTCCCTTTCTTTTTTTAATAAGAAACAAGAAACATCATTGACAATAAAAGATTACTAGAAGTTTCCAGATGGACGAGAAGTGGAGCAACAATTATCCTACAATACATTTATTTTATGTGTCCGACTGTAGATTATATATTATTAAAGCATTCAAAAAGTATACATGTTAAGTGGTTGCAAGCATAGCCTAACGGTAAATCCACACACACCTGAAGATACTGAAGATCCATATAATACAAGGTTCAAGCTAAAATATATTTGTAGAATACTTCCAACATCAAAAGACTAAATTAAATGTTCTGTACGGGAGTTCCATTGATATATTTTTGGCTTTAAAAACACACACAAACCTTATCTGAGAGTTGCGAGATGCATCTTTCTAAGGCTGTCTGAAGAGCAGACTCGCATTCTGTACTCTTCGGGCTCGATGCTTCAGCTTGGTTTTGAAGGCATTTACGCAAATGCTTCACCAGATCAGCGAGTGCACCAATGATTGCTACTGAAGTCTGTTGCTTTGCACTTTTTGCTAGTTGTGTGGTAACACTGAGAATATTTATCTGTAAGAGAGGTTGTTTAACAACATTCTTATGATCCAAGTGTTTGACCAATATAGACAATAACAGATGGGAGTTCTGTCCTGGTGATCAAGAAGCTATGTGTCAATTATATCCATATGCAGGGACGATGAAATGTCATAAACTAAATAAAATTAAGGGTCTAGTTCTTACCTGACTCCTCTAAAAGTGACTGCAAATATAACAAAACAGGATATGCAAGTCCTTTTTCTTGGGACCAATGGTTCTCACCATCAAAATTTTGGAAAAGAGGTTCAAGTACACGGCGAACAGTTGTAGCTTCTTTTGCCAATTTGGCCATATTACTCAAGCAAACACTAGACCAGTAAGAAGGGCACCTACTGTTATCCCTGTGAAAAGTGTAATGTGAATAACGGGATGTTAAGGACAGTAAATCTCCCACAAAAGAACATAAACTGTTCCCTAACAAAACCCAGAAAAAACCAATGAAAGGATGAAGTCATAAATACTTACATTGTGGGATCCAAATCAGGTTTTTTCATGAGGTTTGGTAATGACAGTGCCTTCTGTCCCAATTCTGGGGAAGATGAAACATCAACATCAGCCGTTGGCACTCCATGAACCTGCTGGTCATGAGATTGAGATTTTCCTTTGTCCTCCTTGGCGTTACCAGGATGACTTTGAAAATCAGTGAAGTTTTCCAATGTCACTGCTATAATCTACAAGCCAACAGGATGAAGATTTCAAAATTTAAACTTAACAATTGCTTTCCCATCAAAATCCCAAAAAAAAAAAAAAAAAAAAAAAAAAAAAGAGGAAAAAAAAAACCATGACAATCGAATCACTTGCCAAGATACTCCAAGCTTCAACTTTATTTTTGTCCAAAATATTCAAAATAATAACTAGTTTGAGGGTGCTATATGGCCAAAACAGTAGTAATATAGGAGGTTTAGATTACTCACACTATCGAAGTCCATAGAGATATGAGACTGTTCGCCCATGAACCGCACCTACAAGCAAGGAAAAAAATTACATAAAAAATTAAGTGGGAAAACAGACCATTTACTTCTGAACAAAAGCAATTGACTTCATTTTCTGATCATGAAGTAAACTGGGTAGCTATACGTATAAAAAGGTCAAAGGAAAGCAGAAGGCAATCATTATGAGTGCAAGAATATAAATATCACTATCAGACTGGAAAAAAGGGAATATATATACCATAAAAGCTAGAACTTGCAGTCCAGCTGCACGTAACTGCAAAGCTCTTTCATCGTCTCCAACTTCTTGAGCTAGTTGACAAAGTTTAGGAATGAGGCCCTCCAAGTTGAATATGTATGTACTATCCATCTACTTTTATTTGAAAATGTCAGTTTCAATCGACCAATAGCTTTAAAAAAAATATATTCATGCTATATTTGCCATATTATGGTCTACAGGAAAAATGTAATGAACTTAATAGGCACATATACAAGGCAACAAGCACAGGAGTTTGATACACCCCCAGATAGCATTTAAGCCCAAAATCCAGTTGTCTAACTACAATCCTTACTTTTCCTCATCCTATTCAGAAAATCATATGAACTTTCTGCTTTCACCAACTTAAAATTTGGTACCTAACGTTATTTAGGGGCCAGTTAAAAGAGTCTGCCACATATAAACTACCAACACTCTAGCCATTTTATTATTAGACAAATGTTCAAATGATTTTCACAAACCAGAGCATCCCTTCTTTTAGACAAACATGTACCTGGCTTCTTACAAAATCAGCAAGAGTTTTACAACCCAGAATCCGCATTTCATGCTGTCGAGTTTGTTCCAATAGAGTCCGAACAAGGCCTAATAAACTACCAGCAAACAAAGGCCTGCAACCATCAAAGGGAACCAGTGAATGTCATCATATATAAATTATCAAATAAAACAAACAGTTCAGAATATGAATTTGCAGATGCTCACAATATTCTTGCACCGTAAATGCAGGCGCATTAATATATTCTTTAAACCTTCTAATATATACATACATATATATATACACACACTTCAAACATGCGACTTGATCACTTTTGATTGTTTACAAAGCCACAATACAATTGGAAGGCTTTTTCTTAGATTGAAGATTGGGGAGGGGAATAGGGTGAGATTTTGGGAGGATGTGTGGGTTGGAGATGAATCCTTTTCCGTCCTATTTCCAAACCTCTTTAGATTGTCTTCAAAACACAATGCACCAATTTCAGCCCTTTATACCTTTATCAATGGTAATGTAGTATCTCGGAACTTTCATTTTGGAAGGAATCCTAGTGAGAACGAATTGGGAGAAGTGGCGGGGTTACTGTCATGGTTAGAGTATCGAAGACGTGGTGGAAACGCCGGATGAGTCCATCAAATTCCGGTAGCAAGTTGTGCGTTTCCACGGCTAGCCCTTCTGCCCCTACCGTGTTTAATTCCAGGTGCACCCCCACCTCCCGTGCTTGACAAAAGCGAGTTAAGGAACGGAAACTTACTGGTGAATAGCTGAGGGATGGATCCCCAGTCCACTGTACCCAACTTCCCTCCTGCTAGAATTTCATGGTGAAATTCGCCCAATCTGCCCGAACCTCACCCAGGGTACGTAGCCACGTAATTCCCAAAACTACTTCCGCACTGCCTAATTCAAACGGGAAGAAGTCCTCGATCACCCAGTGTCCCTGTATGTGAATCCGCACCCCTCGGCACACCCCTTTTTGTTGAAAATTCATGTCGTTGCCCACCTGAATCTTGTGCCGCACAGATAAATCCGTTGGTAAGGCCAGAGTCCGCACCAGCTCAGCCAAAATGAAACTGTGGGAGACCCCACTATCGACCAACATGACGACTTCCCGGTCGCCGATGGTTCCTCGCAATTTCATGGTCTTTGCGGAGGCAAATCCCCAAAGAGAGTTAAGTGAAAGATCGACGTTACCTTTGGTGGTCTCCCCCTGTACGGTTGCTGCTTCAGCCGATTCCTCCCGCAGGTCCTCCTCCCGGTCGGAATCTTCCCCAGAGACAAGAAGGACTTGAAGCTGTCGGAGCTTACAGCGGTGCCCCGGACTAAACTCTTCATCGCACCGGAAACAAAGCCCCCGTGCCCGTTTCTGTTGTATCTCCTCGTAGGAGAGCCTTCGGAAAGATGAACCGCCGTTAGCCGTCCCACCCACCGCCCCTCCAGGAGCCTCTTGGTGTCGCGGTGCTGTGGGGGGGTCGCACGGTGTTTGGGATCGAAGGGAGCCCTCTGGAATGTCCGAGCAGCTAGGGCTATTATTATAACCCGGTTTGCTCCAACAATCAACCCGGTTGCTCCGACCCGCCCAACCTTTCCGTACCCGATCCACTACCTCCAGCCTGTCTTCCACCTGTTGGGCCAAGTCCATAGTCTCGGGCAGCCCAATGGGCCTGTGCATCTTCACCTCCACCCGAATATCCTCTCTCAGGCCGTTGAGGAAAGCGCTTCTGTAAACCTTCTCGGGAATGCCGCTCAGAGTCGCCGCTAAAGCCTCGAACCCTTCCCAGTACTCTGCCACTGTTCCCCCTTGCCGAAGCGCCATTAGTCTCTTGGTGGGGTCTCCTTCCTGCGACAGGCTAAACCGCTGAAGGATGGCTGCCCGCAGCTCCTGCCACTCTTCGAACGGCTCCTGCGAATCAGGCCATTGATACCAGCTAAGGGCTCGACCTTCCATGCATATGGAAGCAGCTAGGATCTTCTCGTCTTCGTCCACGTCGTTGACGGTGAAGTAACACTCGGCCCTGAAAATCCACCCATGAGGATCCTCCCCACGGGACAATGGAAGTTCCAGCTTCTTTCCCCGGTGTTCCCCTCGATTTTGCACTCTCTCCGGCGACCTGTAGCGGGGGTGTCCCATTCTTCCCCTCGCTGGCTCCCCCCTCGGCGGACTGTACTCGCCTCGTGCTGGCCGCAGGGCCTCCCTCCGTGGGGGAGTCTGATCATTCCTTCCCCGCCCCGGAGAATTGAACTCGCCCCGTTGCCGCCTGGGTGGTGACTGGTCGATGCGCGCTTGCCTCACCATGAATTCCGCCGGCCTCGCAATTGAGCCCTGGAGCCCGTCGATCTTGGTTCCCATGGAAGCCATCTCACCTTGTACTTCTCCGAGGCGTGCTCCCATCGTCACCACGTCTCCTTGGAGGCGAGGAACTGGGCTCACCATGTCCCCGAAGGATTGCAGAGAGTCCTGGAACCCATTCAGTCTCCTCTCCAACAACGTGAAACGATCTGTTTGGTTTGCCATGGATTGGTTCTCTGATACCAAATTGTTAGGACTTCCTTTGTTCTAGACAAAAATAAACGTTTGAGCTAAGAAAATCAATAGGAATTCAGAAGAAATAACCAGAATAGCCCGGTTCCTTTGATTGAATGATGATCAAAATACGTACAGGGGAAGCAAAATACAAAACTGGAAATTAAAGATGGAGGTGAATTCGAGGACCCCTCCTAACCTCCTCAGACTCAAGTCTTCTCTTAATTCTCGATACCCTACATTCTCTAGCCGTAGGCTATTTATTTCTCAATCCTCTAACTAACTCCTCATTCCCATATCTGGCCCTTGCACACATCCCCATAACCCATAACCGTATTCTAACGACGCCCTTTACCCTTGCCTTGATCCAGTGTTAACCAATTTCCCCTCCTGCCCCTGCTCCTTCCTACTCCTTCTCGCATACACAAAACTGAGGGCTGGAGTGCTAACAGGTGTGTATTGGGTCTGCGGATAGATGGGTTTGGGATTTGGAGGGGTCGTGTTTGTTCTCCTGTAAATCTTTTTTCATTTCATTAATTAACAATCATTCCTATCCTACTTTTCCCCTACACTGTTTCATTTGAAAAATCTCGGTTCCGACGAAAATTCAGGTTTTTGGCTGGCTGCTTGCTCTTTTCAAGCTGAATACTTATGATTTGTTGCAACTTACCTTTATATTTCCCCAAGCTGATGTGTTCTTTGCAGGAATGATAACGAAACATCGAACCATCTATTCCTTCACTGTCCATTTTCATCGAAGATTTGGTACAACATTGTAGAGAAGTTTCGGTTCTCATGGGCTCTTCCTAGCTGTGTCACTGAATTATTGGATGCATATATACTTATTGAGTGGAGTTAGAGATGTAGACGGTTTTGGAGTATCATTGTTCTTGCTACATTCTGGTCATTGTGGCTGGAAGAAATAATCGCATTTTTGAATGAGTAGAAAATGATGTTACTAGTTTATTGGGTAGCATTATGGACATTTGAAGATAAAGAATTTGCGGATTTTCATCCTCGGATTTGAGGGGTTGGGATCTCATTTTGAGTTTGATAGGTTACGATGTATTATGATTTCATCTGCTGAGTTTTTGTCTTTGTTGTGTGAGGACTTCTTGTCCTCTACTGTACCTTATTTATATCAATGAAGGTGTTTCTTATTTTAAAAAAAAATCACTTTCGAAAATGTTTACAAAGCCAGAATATAATTGGAAACCCTTTTCTTTCTAATTTTTTTCCTCTATCGTAGGAGAGGAAACTGAGTTGTTCATCATGTGTTTGCTTCTACTTGTTTATGTGTATATAGTATATACATTTTGGAAAACTAATTCATCTGTGGTAGTTATCATGTGTGTGCTTCTACAAGTTTCTGAATATAGTATATCCATTTCGAATTAACTAATTCATCTGTGGTAGTTTATCTTGTTTGTGTTTTTAGATGTTTCTTTATGTAGTATATACATTTTGAAAAACTAATACACCTGTGGTATGTCAATGTCAAACTTATATCTCCTTTAATCTTTTCTTGTTTAGATACGTTAGCTGGAGGGCGCCAGCAATGTTCATATCTCCAGTAATCAACATTACTTTCTGCTGGATTCTTTAAACAAAAAGCTGTCTTCATCAAAAAACCTCATCAGTAGAAGTCCTAAAAGATTTAAAATACTGCGTTTTTAGCTATGAAACACATATAGGATAAATAGGGATTTCATCCATAGAAAAGTTTCAACCTAAGTTCAAGTCATCTAAATATGTGCCTGCCAAGTGTAAGGTTATTATGTCATTGTTTTATAAATTCTCTTCTGAAAGTTCCTTTTCTCATTGTAAAGGATAGCGGATTAGCTGTTGGTATTAGTTAGCTTAAAGCTGTAGTAATTAGTTTGACATTTAGTTACAAGCAGAGGAGCTTACGCATCTAACATTTCTATTAGCTACTTCAGATAGTTTTGTTAGATCTGTAATAAGTTATTTAAGCATTGTACCAACCATTACTCAACACAGAGAATCCATTCTTTACAATTCTCAAACAAACATTCATTTCTTTCTCCCTCAGTTATTTCTCAAACGCTTACACTCCTAATTTTCGACCACTCTCACCTTACTTTAAAATGTAGACTGGACAGGAAATTGGGGTTTAAAATAAAAAAAATAAAAACAGAAATGTAAACTAAAGCATATGAGACTTACATCTGGTCCTTGCATGACAACAACAACTTCCTATAAATGCATAATACAACTTTTACAGATCCATAGTTCTCGTTTCGCAAATCCTTGTAACATCTTTGCTCTAGGTTCTCAGTGATCTGCAAATGATACACACTGACAGACATGATACATTTGTTCTTAAAGCCTAATGCAAACATGGATAACTTGGAAAAATTTCCGATTGCCAAAAGAATTTTGAAAAGGAAAATTCATGCCTGACAAGTAACCTCACTTTTTATTTATCCAAAACAAAAGGTAACTTCAATTGTTGAGCCACTTTTGCAAATCTAAACTAATATTATGACATTTTGGAAAATAAATAAAACTAATCATAATCCCCAAAACCCAGTTAGAACTAGGCATTTCCAGAACAAAAGAAATTGGATCCCAATCTTGATTCAGCTATATTACAATACAGTGAAACTCAGTGTGCGGTTAAAGACAATATTAGCTCATAATCAACAGAGTGTAATCCCACTTTTATAATCACAAAAAAAAGAAAAGGTGCAAACCTGTTTAAATCTAACATTAAAAACAACATTGATAAAGCACAGACGCTGAATAGGATAATTTCCTAACAATATATATATATATATATATATATATATTGAACCTCATACAAAGATAGAACAACATAATTTCTCGTCCAAAGACAAATCTGGAGAATAAACACTAGAATGGGGAATAAGAAAATATAAACATAAACGCTTACTTTGGGAATTCGCAGTGGATTTTTTGAAGCATATACACAAAGTTTCCCAATTTTCCTGTCATTCAATTCAGCATCCTGCTAAACATATTTGTCAAGAACAACAAATAGATAAGCAGACGTTCATGAACCAAACGAGCATAAGACAGGTTTTAATTTCTGACCAAAGCTACAAATTTATATACAAGTATCAGTTGTGATAACAGCAATACTAGACCTACTGGTGGCTATACTTTCACGGTTCAACATCACCACATTAACCACAATTACCGTGATGAGTGAACTGATAATAAAACTTAAATTCAATACCTCGGATGGCTTTTATTGATGTTTGGTAGAGGGATTCGTTCCCTGATTCGAATCATGATTCGTGGTTCGCTACAGTATTTTTTCTCACAAAAAATTCACGTAAATCGAAAATAGTTCGAATCACATGGTTTGAATCCTCCAACCAAACGTCCTTATTTTTTAGGACTCTTTGTCCTCGTTTCCTTTGTACTGTTTTCAGTATCTGACATTAACAAAGGATGCTCCTTACGCAAAACATATCCAATCGTTATAACACCACAGTTAAAAACATAGTAATCACACCGTAATTTTATGCATAGACAGTATGACTACAGACAAAGCAGTGTTCTTCCAGACCAGAAAAACCACACAAGATCGATCGAAAAGCGAAAAACAAAACAAATGAAAAAGAGTTAACCTGATTGCGGGGGAAGATATCAGCAAGCAACTTTTTGTAGCGTTTCACAGGCTGTCTTGATCTTGCTCGCATTGAAGGGCAAAAGAAACAGAGGTTGCCGCAGGCGGGGACAACCCGCCTCGACATAACCCCCATTTTCTAAGGGGGGAAAAGTACAATCACTCCCTACTTGCTCTGAAAACCAAATCCAATTATGCAACAATTTCCATAAACTAACAGTGTAACACGATTGATAAATATAATAAAGGAAAAGTGTCTTGTAATTTCTAATATTTATGAATTATGTTCTTCTAGTGTTTCTCTCAAGAATCTAAAGCTCAATTTCCATTTTCACACACAACAAAAACTAACAGTGTCACATGATTAAGAAATATAATTCTAAATTTGAACATTTTCTACTGAACTATGCTCTTTAGCTCAAATCCCCTGCGTGCTCGCAAACTCAACTCCAATTACCAAATGCAATTGAGAAAATACAAAAAATTGAAACAAGCTCTAATTCAGAACATTCCCGACAGAAATTGTTCAATTCATCAGAATTCGAGGTTTATGAACTGTTTTACGAGAAAAATATATAAAAAAAAAAACTCGTCAAAAATTAACAGAATCAAATGATTAGAAGAAAAAGGACAAAAAAAAAGGGACAAAAAACACAATAATTATTAATACACCACAATAATTTCCACAGAATTATGAGTTTTTTTAAGAGTCGTTTGCTTCAGAAAGCTCGAAACCTGGTTGAATTTCGGAAGTCAAACAAGAGGAAAGTGGAAGATTAAAGAGCAAATTGCGATGAACTTTTATCAGAAAAAAATGTAGAGATTGAAATGGAAAATTCTCAGATACGCACCGATTGGAAAAACGACACGAAAATTTCTGAGTTATTTCAAAGGGATCACGATCTGAACCAAGACAAAAAGGCCAACGAGTTTGACGACGAAGAAAAAGAAAAGGGATAGATCATACATAAATCAGAAAGAAAAAAGCGTTACGCTTTCTCTGCGGATTCGAGTTTAAACTGAAATATATTTTTAGAGGGTTTTTGATTTTAAAGAAAAAAATTAAATGTGATATTTTTAAAAAAATTTTAATTATAAAAATTTAGAATTAAAAATTTAAATTAGTAAAAGTAAATTAGGCCTTAAAAGAAAAAAAGTGCAATATATTTAAAATAAATTTAAATATTGTTGGAAGATACTTTGATAAACCCCAGCTCAGCTCCTACGACATTTTTTTTATGTCTCTTCTCGGACATTAATATGAGAGAACCAATAATTCATTTTTTTCCTGCAGGGAAATTACTTTTAAAAAAAAATTAAAATGACGTTTTATAAATTGCATTGTAACATTTTATCATCATTTATAAAGAAAAGTTAAAAATGATGTTTAATTAACTTTTTAATGCTTTTATATTTAAGCTCATTATAAATATAGTGTAATATAATTAGTTAAATATTATTTTAGATATTAAAAATCAAAATGAATGATCCAGCACCAAAAGCCTTTATTATTATTATTATTATAATAATAATAATAATAATAATAACTATTATTATTATTATTATTATTATTATTTTGTCTCTTCTTTTTTTTTTTTATGGAACATGTTGCCTCTTCTCGGACATTACAAAACGATAATCCATTTTTTCGGTTGAAAAATCACTTTTTATGTTTTTCCAATATCTTAAAAAAAGTAAGAAAAGATCTATTAATGTCATGGAGGGGAGTGGTTCAGAGAGTGACAGTAAATTTAATTTATGTGTTTAAATTAGTAATTTTAAATTTTTGTATTTAAATTTTAATTTTTTTGTGAAATGAAAACAATGTAACATAATTAAAAACATAGATTTAAATACATAAAATAAGCATGTCCTTAATCAAAATACCAATATTGGCTTGGAGGTGGGACTGACCAACTATACGATTGTCTCGGATGAGACCATTTATAATGTAAATGTTAATGTCAATTATATATTTAGCATAAAAAAATATGATATAATATGTTAGTTTTATTTTTACTTCAGTCTATAATACTATTTGAAATGTTAAATTTTTATTTTTTATTTGATTAATAATCGTTAAGTTTTAAAAGTTATAAAAGTAAAATTATATTTGTAAAATAATTAAAAATTATAATAATTATAATAATTACATAAAAATAAATAATTTAATTAATAATAATTAAATACCAATTTTTTATATATAATACTTAACAAAAAAATTATCATAACAAATAACGTCACATTAATTATAGCAGTGGATATGTTTTAAGCTTGGCAGAGGAATTCAACTTGCTACTCGGTTAGTGCCAAAAAGCCAACGGTCCCGAGAATTATGGGAGCATACTTTTTTGATTGCATGACAAAAAAGTCCTTCAACTATTTGCTTTTTGACTTTATGCCACCACTTTTTTTTATATATCAAAATTAAAATTAATCCAGCATTTTGTATACGATAATGATTGGGTAAGGAGGGTTTTAGTTCAAAACTAAGCGAAATGAGTTTAGAATTAGTTTTAAAATGATTTTATTTTTTATATGAAAATAAGAATAAAAATATTTTTAATCTCAAATAAAAATTATTTTTAAAAATGTGTTTAGTAATTTTATTAACAGATTATTTTCAGTGTAAAAAAATCTATTAATGTCTCTTTTTCTCTCTCTGCTCGAGAAAAGAAAAAAAACGAAAACAAAAAATGAAAAATGACTAAAAGTTTTTTTTTTCATTTCTCTCATATTTTACACTAAACTAAAAAATCATTTTCATTTCTATTTTTTATTTTTATTGCGTTAAACGTTGTTTTAAAAACGTTTTCATTTTTTCTTTCTTAAAAAACGTGAAAAATAAAAACAGATTCAATTTCAAACACGGCATTAAATTATGATCACTGCACCACATCCTTTAGATAGAAATAAAAATGAATGATCATCAAATAAAGTGTTATTCCACTCTGTGGTATTGGTGTTTGTATCTATTGCAAGTGCTCGTGCATTGCTTACATTTTTTTTATGATAATTTAAAATTTCTCCTAGCATTAACTCTGATGCGAAAAATTCGCAACCCATAGAATCATTGTCAAGTAATAAATCTCAAAAGTACGATTATCATCCCATAAGAGTTGATGATATTAACTACTAAAATTGTGTTAACTCTAATTTTATTTGAATAAATAAAAAAAGATAAGATTTTAATAAAAATTAAAAATAAACAATTAAACTAAAATGGAAGAAATTATCAATAGAAGGAAATTCAATAATAGCAAACTCTAGGGTATTTGATTTCTCCAAACTATTCTATTTTGAATCATCTATCTAATCAGAGTCAAATTATACTCTTAGTTAACAGTCAAAAATTCTAAAATTATTTGATCCTCCCTTTTGAGTTACACCAAAAATATCTTAATTGCTAACCCACTATATTCTTATGTAAATTACAAAAATCAAGCAGTCATTAAGTTTCATCGATTTTCATAAAGCGACCACATAAACTGTTGGTTTCTAAAACGATTTCGGATGCGGAAGTGAATAGGTGAGAATCGTATATAACAAAAAATTTTATAAAACCTTTGAACACTCTATAAAATATATTAATTACGATCATATTAATTTATAAATGTATATTTCTAGCGAACGATTAGGCGGATAACTTAAATTCTTTAACCTCGAATAATCCTTGCTCCAAGCTTTTAGAAAACCTAAATATTCCTCTTATAGTTCTTGAAATCTGCAAGACCTAGAGTATGAGCTCTAATATAGAACTATCAAACTTGATCACTCGTAAATTTATCTTCCACCACTATCAATGCGTATGTGATAGAACCGGAAATTAGAAAAACTTTTCTTCTCTTTTATCTCTCTTTAAAATTCGGCCGCTATAGGAAAATAGAGAGCAAAATTGTGTTCTCTAATTTTTTATTGTCTCTTATTTATAGAATCCTAAGATAATTCTTTGCTTTATCTTAAAGTCAAAGTAATAGATAATTGGTTATCCCTTTATTTTAAATATCATTTAAAATATAGTTTGCCAATAATTTTAGAAGCAATATTTCTCTCTCTCCTTATCTACACTGGTCAGCCACACCACAGGAGAATCTCCCCTATGGTTGACGCATATCTCTGCTAGGAGAAGGAGATAAATTTCTCATTTTATCTAGTTTTCAATTTTAACTCAAATTCAAATCAAAATAAAGTCAAATTTCATTTCATTTTGAATTTAATTAAAAAACTTGTCAAACAAGTAAACCAGATATCATGGAGAGAAAGTAACTGAATCTCAATAGGATTCACCATGTATCACAACATGTGGCATTCTATGGTCTCACCACAGTGTGTTCTAAAATTAATTTAATTTAAATACTCACATTATTTATTCCAAGTGATATTAAATCCCAATAATTCACCTTGTCTCGCAAATATTATAAGGATGATGCGGAACTCATAGACCTATAATTATAAACTACAATAAAATTAATAATTAATTAAACTCTTCAATTAATTAATTAATTCTATTAATTTCAAAAATTACTCAACTAAAAACTTGGAATTGAACTCTCGAAATTATAGACATAATTTACTTCGAAGAACTTGAAGTATCCATTTGATATAATCACTACATATAGATCAATCCTCCATAAATAATTCATAATTAGAGTTAGGTAAAATCCGTTAACCCTCTAATTACTTCTTTATCCTTGAAAACCATTGATTCTCTAATGAATAATATATTCATAAAATAAATTCATGAATACGAACTCGTTACATATTCAAGTACGTAATCAACCCTCAAGAGAATTATTTATCTACTTCTTCAAAGAAAAAAAGAATGGATTCTATCTCGTACATTAGCATTCATGGCTGTATATTTCATCATATTTCCAATATACAAAGAATAGAATTTAGAATCTCAAAATTCATACGGAGTAAGTCAAAAAACACAAATCCATAAATAGGAGTATGCTAATAACTCAGGACTAAGATTATTCTATATATAACCATCGGTAGACTCAAATTTGATTTTCTATACTTAACGGAAGTTATTAGAAAATTAAATTATATATGTGTCCCATTTCTATATAATCTCATTATGCATGATACACTCATTCAATATCCCACTATATTAATGATGCATATAACATCATTCCATCCTTAATGAAAATGTCGTGAATTAGTAATGTTTTAATTAAGGCCTCGTTCAGTTCTCTGATTTGAGTTTTCAATTTGAGTTGAGATGTGACTTTTTATGAGAGCTTTTTACAATAGCAAAAAAAGTTAGATATAATTTTTTTATGAGCACTTTTTACTGTAGCAAACTAGAATTGAAAACTCGAATATGATAACTGAACGAAGACTAAAGATTCTGTAACTTTAATTAAGTTCATTACGAACATATTTCGATTATTATCCTTAAATATTATTCTCTCGTATATAACAGTTTTACAATATTTAACGTTACAAAGATAATCGTAGAATTTTCAACGATATTCATAAAGTATTTAATAATATATTTGAAAAAACTATTTGATTAATTAAATAATGAATATATGTTTTACATCTCATGTTTTAAGGACATTATTCTTAACAATCTCACATTTCTTCTAAAGCAAGTGTGACATGTCCCTAATCCCTAATCTCTAATCCTTCTAGGTGTCTGTCAAAGACGTTTAGTGACAATGTCTTCGTGAACGTGAACAGATCTGCGAGGTTATTCTTCGATGCGATCTTCAGAACCGTTACATCGCCTGTATGATTATATCTTTGATTATGTAATATTTTCTCTCTATATGCTTTGCACTCTCGTGAATTCTTAGTTCTTTTGAATTAGCCACTTCTCTACTGTTATCATAGTACAGCTTAATTGGTTGATCTATAACGACTTCCAGATCAGTCAAAACTTACGGTGTCAGGTTGCTTCTTTTGTAGCTTTACAAGCTGCAACATTTTCAGCTTGCATGGTAGAGTCATCAATATACTTTTGCATTACACTTTCTCATACCACAACTCTCCCATTAAGAGTGAACATAAATCCGGTTGTCGACCGTCGACTATCCTTATTTAACTGAAAGTCAGAATCTGTGTATCCAGTGAGAGACATGTCTTTTTTAGAATATATTAGCATATAGTTTCTCGTTTTCTTAAGATATTTGAGAATGCATTTCACCGCAACCCAATGATCTAATCTTAAATTGAACTGATAGCGATTGACTACTCTCACTGCATAACAGATATCTGTTGAGAATGATGTCTTTAAAGCATGAGATGTAAATTTTAGATATTATTATTTGATTAATAGGTAAAAATTTCATTATTTATGTGCATGTATTATTATATACTTTATAAATATTATTGAAAATTCTACATTTATTTATGTGAGCTCATATATGATATATAAATGTTGTACACTAAAAAATAATATTTAAGGATGATTATCAAAATATGTCCGCAATAAATTTAATTAAAGTTTTAAAATATTATTACATGTCATTCTCATTAAAAATAGAACGAGTTTATCTCCATCGTCGAAATGGAGAGACAAGAAATTCCTTACTTCTCACAATTTAACCCTTAAAATATCATCATCTTACAGAAGTTAAATTTCTAATTCTAATTTAGCATTAAGTTGAATTTCTCTCTTTGCATTCGAAATTGTATTTCATGTCTCTCTCCTCCGTTTGCATTTCCAGCTCACAAAATTCACAATCAAATAGATGCTCCTTCTCGTAGCTTCCTTTTCTTTACTTTGTGTTCGGTCTTGTTTTGTTCTTCATTTGCTCGAAAGACCCGCCCCGTTATAAGTTTGTGTTATACTTGATCGTACTAATGGAAGAAGACATATGGAAGGAGGGTGAGTGTTGGTAAATTATGGTCCGTTTAGTTCGTTGATTCGAGTTTTTAATTTGAGTTAGGATGTGATTTTATATTAAAATTTTTTTACTGTAATAAAACAATTTGATGTGACTGTTTCAGATAGCTTTTTATTGTAACAAAACTCGAATCGGTAAAATGAACATGATCTTAGTTTGTGAACTGAGTTGTGATTTTGGGAATCAACTGAGTTCGTGTATTTAGGAAGTATCCGAGATTGTTAATCTCGATTTGTTTGGTTAGCCAGATCAATTGTGCCACACTCGAGAGATGCAAACGGAATTTTGGTGTTGGGTAGAACAAAGCAAAGAACTAGAATTCTTTCAATCCATCGCCTATAGAAACCTTTAACACGCCTCTTAAACTGGGAAAGCAGGTGCCACTTCTACTAATGTTGGGCATCAAAGTTTTTTATACAGTATTTTTTCTCACAAAAATTTAAATTTAAATTTTTTTATTGTAATATTTTTTTTACATAAATTTATTTTTTAATTCAAGTTTTTAATTCAAACGAGATAATAATTAAAATTTAAAGAGTAGACCCAAAAAGAGAGATATTATAAACCTAGTTTATTAATAGTCTTTCCTAGGACAAAATAGACCGCTTACATCTTACTTTTTAGACTAGGACATGTTAATTTTCTTTTGGAATTCCATGTCTTGCAAGGATTCTTTTATACTGTCGGAGGAATATTCTTAATACTGTGTTAGAAAATACGATAATTTGTAAAATTTTACATTAAAACTTGTAAATTTGAACGATATAATTGTAAAAGTTACGATAATTTGTGAAATTTCAATTTTACGATAATTTATGTTAGAATTTGTAAACTCAAACGATGCATCATAAAATTTAAAATTTTACTAATTATCATTTGAGTTTACAAGTTCTAACATAAAATTTAACAAATTATCTATCTCCCGGCACGTTGGAAAAAAGGACTCTGTCTTGCAATGGTTATGAATGGTACTTTGAATATGACATTAACTTACATATACCGATCACTAATAACCACTTAAACCGATTCAATCAATCTAATTTTGGTTGGAGTATAATGTTAATTGGATTGGATTAGATTAGATTAGATTTTGAAATTAGAAAACTAATTAGATTGAATCAGTTTGGAAATTAGTCGTAAGTTTTTAGAAATCCATTCAACCAATGTTGATGAAATTGTAATTAAAAAATAATGTCTCCTCTTGTGAGAAGGATGTGCGTAAACCATTTGAACGAAAAAAAAAAAAGAAAAGAAAAAAGGCGCTCTGTCTCTAAAACTGTTTCTCCTTTTTCTTTCTAAGTTTCTTTGCCAACCTTTTCTCTCTGGCCGGAGGTTCGGTGCGTCGCCAAACCTCTGGCCATAAAAATCTTATCCTTGACCTCGCAGCGAGATGATCTATAAGGTGATGAGCTCCGTGTAACTAGAGGAGGTGACGTTTCGTCAACTCTGGCCAGTGAATGTATGAGTTTCTCCGTAGTTTTACAAGATCTTCAGAGGGTGTTTGCCGGCCGTGGACTCTGAAAACTCATAGAGGGAGTTGCATGTTCGTGGTGTTCACACCATCTCCAGCCATATCTCTCCTGTGTAGGTTGTGGATTTATGTATATATATTTTTTGTATTTTGTTCTTTATTTTGCTGTAATAATGGCAGTGGTTTCCCCATTATCCGGTGTGTTTCTCTAGCTAGAGGGTGGTTTTCCCATCTCTCTCACTCTGTGATGTTTTCTCACTCAGTTGGTTTCTCCACCGCTGCTAGTCTAAGGTATGTGTGTATGTTTAAGGTCCATTATAAAATTAATATTTGGCTCACTTTGAGTCGATTTTTTGTGGCCAAATGTTATAGAGCCACTTTTAAGACGTGCCCTCCCCATTATTGAATTAGGGATGCGGTTTTAATGTCTACTCTTATGAGTGATACCCATTTTTATAGCTTTGATATAATCATGTATTCTAATTCTTTGATGGCATTTTAATGACATTGTCATATTTACTTAAAAAAAAAAAAAGAATAAGAAGAAGATGGGCATAACCAGACTCCTTGGCTCTCTCTCTCACATTACTCATGAGGCTGCTTTCGATGAGGCCATCGCCTTCATTTCATAATGCTTTTCATTTTCAATTTTGGTCCTTACATCAAACTTCATCAATCCAACAACCTTACACGTGAAGAACACATACTCTTTACCTTAATTTTTTAATATCTAACTAATAAAGAGACTAAAACTGAAATAAAATAAAAATTAAGGGATCAAGAGACATTTTAAAAGTTCAGAATCAAAATGAAATCATTGATAAAACTCAAAAGACCATTCCTTCATGGAATTAACACTAAGAAAAAGCATATATCTTCCATAGGAAATTAGGTAAATGACCTTTTTTTTTTCCTAATCACATTTTCAGTAAACAGTCAAAATTTTTATTTTTTACAAAAAGAAATGAATTTTTTGTTTTATTTTTTTTTGTCAATAATTTGATATCAATTAACCAATTATAAACCAAATTAATCAATCATAGACTAAAGGTCATTAAAAAAAAGAAAAAAAAGTCATTTCTCTAATTTTACTAAGGTGATGTTTAGTTCATAAATTAAAATTATGAGATTATAATTATTTTTTATTTATGTATATTTTTTATGAGAAAAAATACTATAATGAATTATGAATCATGAACCATAATTTAAATCAAATATAAATCTTCTTACAAACGTGACGTAAATCTCAACAAATGGTTATTTACTCTCAAGACTCAAATCCCTTTCTTCCTTCTCTTGGGTACTGTTTGTCAGCCTAGTCCAGTCTAGACCAACGCGATTTCCTTTTTCTAAGAAGTAAATCCTTTCTCTCTAAAACCCTAGACTGAGATCCCCTATTGTAGTTTTACAATCCCATTTCTTCTTCTTTGTTTTTTTTTTTAATTTTTTTTTGTTCACCAGATCGACCTTTCTTCTTCTGATGCTAATTAGCTCTACTTTCTGCAGGACTTTAATCCCGATCAAGCAAAAATGTTTCTTACGAGGTCTAATTCTTGCATACGATTTCCCCCTAGCAAAATAATAATAATAATAATAAATTGGTGTTCTTTTTTTTTTTTTTTCATTTGTGAAGGACCGAGTATGACAGAGGAGTCAACACTTTTTCTCCTGAAGGTCGACTGTTTCAGGTCGAGTATGCTATTGAAGCCATTAAGGTATGTGATAATCCCAGTTTCTGAAGATGCAAATATTTTCTGGGAATTTTCTAGACGGAAAGAACAAATATGTTATCGTAGATGCACTTCTAGTTCGTAATTTAGGTTCAATGTTTTGTGTTCTTATATTATTTATTTTGCGTGTTCTGATATGTATCAATGTCAGATAAGAACAAATATTTTCTGGGAATTTTGTAAATGGGAAGAAAAAATATGTACTGGTAGAGATGGTTACTAATACCAAGTTGTAGTTTTGACGTACAAAAATCCTCACACTTTCTATTTGTAATTTAGTTTTGTGTTTTTTACTCTTTTTTTTCCTTTGTTTTTTTGGTTTCTGGTTTACACCAATTTCAATTGTTTCTTTTATCTGGGTTTTAACAGTTTTATTGAAATTATACTACAGCTTGGTTCAACTGCAATTGGGTTGAAAACAAAAGAAGGTGTTGTGCTCGCAGTTGAGAAGCGAATTACCTCCCCTCTTCTGGTATGTGCATTTGGAATTTGTTTTTCTTTTGGCATTTATCAAATTTTATTGATGATGTTTGAAGTATCAAAGGGAGAGGATCTTAGTTTTGTTCACTTTCAGGAACCTAGCAGCGTGGAGAAAGTTATGGAAATCGATGAGCATATAGGATGCGCCATGAGTGGATTGATTGCTGATGCTCGTACACTCGTTGAACACGCACGAGTCGAAACTCAGGTCATTTTCTTCTTGTAATGAATTAGAATGTAGCAAAGTCATGGCCTCTGGTACTGATTTTTGAAGTTTTTAATCGTATTTTCAGAATCATAAGTTCTCCTATGGTGAGCCAATGACTGTAGAGTCCACAACGCAGGCTCTTTGTGATCTGGCCCTACGATTTGGCGAGGGTGATGAAGAATCCATGGTATTAAACTAATCTAGTAATCAATTATATTTTCCTTATCTTTATATATTTTTTTCCTGTTTGTTTGTTTATGATATTTAGACAACTTATTGAGATTAGCTTACTATGGCTGAACTTTTTGAAGCCTTTTTAATGTCTATTGTTGAGTATGGTTGCAATCTAGTAAGCTCACATTCCTCCTTTGAGCTTAAGCGTAAGTTCTATTGGTGTTCATGTTGGAGAACATCTGTTCTGTTCCTAGTTTACTTGATTTAGGTATTCAACAATCATTTAGGCCCGCTCTCTTCGTAGGCTTCGTAGGTTTGAATAGAAATTCAAATTCTTGTGACGGAAAATAGTGTAGTAAAAAGGTTTGAATTGTGGTTCAAACCTATGAAAAGAACGGGCCCTTAAACATTTCTTTTTGTGGGTTTTTTTTTCTTGTATGGTGTATAATTTTTGTTTCTTTGTTTTTTTTTTTTTTTTTGGTTGATAAGAAATGAACTTTCTGTAATAATGAAAAGAAAGTACACCAGAGGACAAGAGGTCCTCACACGAACAATTAAAAACGAAAATCATTAGAACAGCAAGAAAAAAAAAGCTACTACAAGGGAAGTATAGCTATGACAATATGGATTCCCATCCCCTTGAGAGATCAGAGAATGAAAAGGCTTCAAATTCTATATCTTGCGAAGTCCGCAAAGCAACCCTGTAAACTATGCGATCCCAGACACTTCTAACATCTTCCTCAACTTCATTAAATATACAATTATTTCTTTCCAACCACAGAGCCCATAACGTGGCTACAGTTACTGTGTTCCATAACCATTTTGTTCTCTTATTCCTCCCAACCAATAAATCTATTCTTCACCCATCGGATCAGTAACACTTTTTGAAGACCCCATTGAGAACGAAACTCCCCAAGAATGTTAAACCCAATCTTCGAGGAAAATGAGCAGTGAAGAAGTAAATGATTTGATGTCTCGTTTTTGAACCTGCACAACACACAGCATCCCGGGGAAATATAGAGGAAAGGCTTCCTCTTGCGCAACAAGTCTTGAGTATTCAATTTACAAAAGGTGAGCAGCCAACCAAAAACCTGAATTTTCGTTTCCTATGAGATTTTCCAAGCAAAATGGTAAAGGTGAAAGGGAGAGATACTGGTTCTCAATTAAAGAATTAAAATGGGATTTACATGAGAGCAGACTCGAATCCTCCAACTCCTATACCCATCTATCCTCCAAACCGACGCTTACCACCACAAAATTATAACAGGTCCACCACCTCACCCAACTCCCTCTCACTAGGATTCCTTCTCAAATGAAAATTCCAAGAAATGTTACTACCATTACCAAGGTTATAGAAGGACGTAATCGATAGGTTGTGTAAGGGTTGACAATCCAAAGAGGTTTGGAAAAGGACAGAAAAGGGCTCTTGAATTTTTGTTAATTCAATAGCACTATCAGAAAAAAAAAAAAAATACAATTACACTTTCATTTTACGATGCCTTAGTTTATCATTTGAGAATACAGGGTGCGTCCAGCATGACCTATTTTATCGATAGTCCATAGATTTATTGACGGAAACCACAGGCTTACCAAGGACCGAAGGACATGTACTTCTAGTTCACAGTTATATCATAGGATCTGCAAGGGTTTATATATATATTTTTTATCAAGTTGCACAATCGTAATGGTCAGGTTTTCAGTTCTGGAACTTTGTAGTTGGGTTTTAGTCAAAATTTGTGCATATTTGTATATATATGCTACTTGTTTTCCCTGTAATAAGTACTTTTTCAATGGCATCCGTATCAAGTTCTTATGTCTATGCACTACCGTCTGTTGAGCTGTTTGCAGATATTTCGTAGCCTTCATAGGTCAAATGCTCTTTCTTTGAAGATCCTAAATGAATTTCCATTCTTCTATGCTTAAGAAAAATCTGGTGTCTGTATTATTTGATCTTGGAACCTTTCATATACACTTGCTAATCAATCATACTTTCGCATGCAGTCTCGACCATTTGGAGTATCTCTTTTGATTGCTGGTCATGATGAGAATGGCCCAAGCTTGTAAGTGTTGGTTTGTATTACAATTTTTTTTTTCTTTTTTTTGTCTTCTCCAGCAGTGCGTTCATGTTGTGAGCACTAATTTACTTACGGTGAACATTTGCATTGATCTGGAATGGGAAGCAGAATATGACCATATATGTTAAAATCTGATTGTAAAGCAATTTAAAATTAAGTTGTAAGCATTATTTGCCGAGGGATATTTTGAAGTTTTGAAGTTTTTCAAGTTTCAATCAAAATCATAGGCTAAGCCTTTCATTCTGATCTAGGCCAGGATTATGCCCACAAGGCATGAAGTCAATCATTTTGAATTTTTTCGTCTTGAATAAGACGGGAAGAATTGAAAACCAAGAAAACATGTTCTTATATTTCTTAACTGCAAGGCGTGTGCTTTCTTTTTTGAAGTGTTAAGAGTTTGTCACACTCTCTCTCTCTTTAATTTTACTTTTTTCTAAACTAAAACTTGTAACTGCAGATACCATACGGATCCATCTGGCACGTTTTGGCAATGCAATGCAAAAGCTATAGGGTCAGGGTCTGAAGGAGCAGACAGCTCTCTGCAAGAACAATACAACAAGGTACCTTTGTTTCTAAATACTGTGTCAATACTGTGCAGTGCATTCTTCTTACGTTAAAGGGATATTATCATATTGGTACTTGGGGTTATTTATTTATTTTTTTGGTAATGCAATATCAATTTGCAACCTATCATATTTATATGTTTGTTTTGTTTTGTTTTTTTGTTTTTTTTTGGTGATGCAAAATATCTTTCATAGTTCAATTTTATGTCGATGATGCCTCGCTGCACAATTACAATACGAATTGATTGAATTGCCCTTGTATTTATCCCTCCCCAAGGTATTACTTGAGATAGCCATGCAATTTATTCAATTCATACTGTAAATGTAACCTAAAAATTGAGTCTTGGGTACTATTGTGATAATTTTGAAATTGGAAGGTGCTGATTTGATATTTCCCATGGTCAAGAGTCCTTTGTGATTTGAGAGGGAAAGAAACACGGGACTATTGTGATCTACCATGGTCAGTAGTGGTTTTTTTTTATTTTTTATTTTTATTTTTTTTTATCTGGTTTAGTTGTACATGTCTTTCTATAAACTTACCAACACGAAATAGGGAAAAAAAAAAAAAGGATGGGAAAAAAAGGAGTTTGATGGAGGTAAATACTTTTCTTTTTTTTTTTCCCCCTTCGCTAAAGAAAGTTGTAAGTAAATAGTTTTAAGAAAAAGAACCGCAACACTAATTTGGTTAGCGGAAACATATGAATGGAGGAAAGGGAAACACTCCATACTTTTTTCATCAATGATAAGTAGCACAACTAATGTCTTACATTGATAGAATTGTTGTTTATATAGTCTCGAGATCGAATATATCCTGCAGAAGCAAGATACACAGTTTCAACTTTGTCCCGCTTCCTGAAGTGAATTGCCAAAGTAGCTGATGATATTGATTAATATCTTATTTTTGCAGGATTTAACTCTGAAGGAAGCTGAGGCTATTGCTCTTTCTATTCTGAAGCAAGTTATGGAAGAGAAGGTGAATCATCTCTGGCACCAACTCCATCAGTTCCTTTTTCGCTTTTGTTTCACTACCGTATCCAGATTGATCGAGCTCTTTCTTTGTTAAAACTGAGATTGATTATGTTGGTCTCGTTGCAGGTCACTCCGAACAATGTCGACATCGCAAAGGTGGCTCCAACATATCATTTGTACACTCCATCTGAGGTGGAAGCTGTTATTAGTCGCCTATAAGTCCACATTACCATAATTGAGAAATTTTCATGTCAAAGCCATACTTAGCTTTGCTTTTATAAACTACTGGGGGTTATGATTTCCATTTGTTTCTGATTGCATATCGGGTTCAACTTAAAGAGCTGATAACTTGTGATGGAATGTGGATTTCTGAAATGCTTTTAACTTTTTGGATAGTTGGACAATCATATCTTCCGGTAAGAACAAAAGCTTCTTTTCGCATTTGGAAAGTAGTTTTATGCCTTCAAAATTTTATCACTTGTAGGCTTTGAAGCTCGTTTAGGCATAGTGAAAAAAAAAAAAAATTTGGGGCGTGTTTGGAACTCGTTCCAAAATGATTTTATTTTTTGTATGAAAATGAAAGTGAAAACATTTTCAATCTTAAACATAAATAATTTTTGAAAATGCGTTTAGTAGTTTTATCAAGAGATTATTTTTTAGTGTAAAAAAACCTATTAATGTTTCTCTTTCTTTTTCTGCTCGGGAGAGGAGAAAATGAAAATAAAAAATGAAAAACGATTAAAAGTCATTTTTCATTTATCTCTCATTTTATACTAAACTAAAAAATTATTTTCATTTCTATTTTTTATCTTTATTACACCAAACGCCGTTTTAAAATCGTTTTTATTTTTTCGTTCTTAAAAAATGTAAAAAATAAAAACGGGATCAATTCTAAACACGGTCTTGGTCTTTCATTTCTTGGTTGAATCTTTTTGCTAAAGTATTTCTTAGTTGACTTAGTTCGACTCAGTGGCATTGGGGGATTAGGTGGAGTGGGTAGAAGGGAGGCCTTTGTAAAAATAACCTAATAGAAAAGCTTTATTCATAAAATGACAATTTAAAAATTTTTATTTACAAAATGACTTTTTGAGAAGAAAGAAAAACGAAAAAAAAATCAGAACTTCACTCCACCCCACGGATCCACTACTTAGCTCGATCCGAATCGCCACGTTCTCGACCTTCTCGAGCCTCGACGTCGCGATCGTGAACGGCGCGATCAACGGCACGTTTAGAGCCCTGCTCTCCGCCTTCTGAGTGTTCACCATGCTCATCTCCATCAAGTGTTTGAACCCGAACCTTGCCGGCGTCGTCGCCAGGGTCATTCTCGGCGTGATTCTGGAGGTGGGTCTCGGCCTTTTGGGGATTTGGATGTGACAGAGGTGTTGAAGAGATTTTTTTAATGCAGAATCTTGAATTGTTTGGGCAATTAAAATTAAAAAGTCATTTTCCTAATTTTACTTTCTTACTCGGTTATTTTAGCCAAATTCTCAGTAGAAGGTTCAATCCCGTGTTGTATATAAAAAAAAAAAAAAATGCATGCGACCATTCTCCACAATCATAAGCCAGAGGCTACCTAATCATTTTTTTTTTTCCTCCGATGCTTATTGCTTACTTCATTCATGTTACTAACTTAGAGAGTTGTATATAGCCAAAAATTAATAAATAAATAAATAAATAAACAAATAGGAACATACATTTAGGAGTACCATTTGGACTTTAGTGAGAAAAAAAAAAAGAGAGACTACCATTTGGTGGTTGTAAGTAGGGGTGTGAAACAAACCATTTCAAACCAACAAAACTAAATTAAACCACACCAATTTCTATCTATATAATTTTCCTAAAATTATATATATATATTTCATATATCTATAACTTATCTATATTTGAAAAAAACCACTTTTATTCCAAAATTAAATGATTTTAACTTTAGAAGTTTGTATCATAACCGATATATACGAACTAACACTGCTTTCACGGTCTACTCTCAAGCCCTTTCCTCTGCACTCCTCTCATTCTCCACTCCACTGGGTTCTGTTTGTGATTCTCTCTAATGCCTTACTTCTTTGTTAACGTGAATGTAACCTATGTAATAATAAGTGTCTCTAATTTGTCTATATTTATTTTCTTTCATATATTTAGAAAAGTTGAATATCATATTTAATTATGAGTCATAACTAATATTATAACTTCTCTAAAAACACAAAATAGTAATTTTATCAAAATTAATTTGAGACACTTAACAATAATATGAATGTCCACACACCAACACATTATGCCCTTTCTTTAAGAGAAGACAAATATTGGCTTGAGAAGTATCCTAGTTGTATTTCTTCATTTGTAATGGCTGATTTGGCCATTTACCCATTTCACCTTTTATATATATATATATGTTAGATGTTATATCAAATAGATATGTTAAGAGTCGATTTTAGATGTAACATCATCTCCAAATGTCAATTGTATATATAATACGAAAAGTGTTATGATAATTATTTTTATTTGTGATTTAATGCATAATGTTATTTTTAAATGTTAAATGTATTTTTTATTATAATCATCCGGCTTTAAAAGTTGTAAAAGTTAACTTTTAATTTTCAAACAATTTGAAAATTCAAAAGTTATAATGATTAAATGAAAAGGTAAACTTATGAATCAATAGCAATCAAATACTTTGCCATATGTTATATTTATTGGGAAATTTCACCACAAAATATAACATATGATAAATTTGACACAATAAATATCATTACAAAGGCACGAGATAGATTTCCGCCTGGAAGTGATTCGCTAAGTCGGGTTTTCCAGCGGCCGCCTATTGTAGAATCGTCGATAACCTGGCTGCCACTATCATGTGTGTAAAGACTTACTGTATAGGCATACTGGAAACCGTTTGGCAAGGCAAGGGACCCTGAAATCCGCTCCTTAGCTATAACGTTCCAGAGTCATGCATTTTGCTCTCAAATTTTAAATTTATAATGACACATTAATTATAGCATTGCATTAGAATTGTCGTAACATACTATAAGCACACAGATTCAACTAAATGATCAAAAAGTGGTTATAAAAAATTTGTCCCGTGAATTTATTATAATTTTTTATGCAAGAGTATACTTAAACTTGGGAGGTGACTTACATAGTGTGGGTCTCGAAGAAGTATCTGGCCTGTATATTAGGAAGGAACTCTTTTAAATAAGGGCCCAAACGAGTAATTTTTGAGGTGGATTTTTGAGTCTGATAATGTGTGATGTTTAAAAGATTTGATTACATCTTTTTTATTAATTACAAATTTTAAGACGAATGGTTGCGTCACTCCTACATCAATTTTTAAAGAAAAAAAAATGAGACAACTAGAAACACATGCCAATGGCACATATGTTCGTAAAGATTGAAGGCCATTTTCCCAAGAATCTTTTAAGTGACGGAAATATCAAACCAGTCGCTCCTCATCCTTAACTTACTCATTAGCTGTGTTTGGAGTTATTTTTATTTTTATTTTTCACCTTTTTTTAGAAAGAAAAAATAGAAATAGAAGAAAAACGGCGTTTGACATAATCAAAAATAATTTCTATCTAAAATTAAAAATATTTTCATTTCTATTTTCATACAAAAAAAAAAATTATTTTAAAAGGAATTTCAAACACACATCTTTCATTTCTCACTGAAAGCTTCAGCTATCAAGTAAGTGATTTCTCCTCTTTTTCTTTTCAGGTTTCCTAGCTCCGATTCGTTTTCCCGAAATGGGGGTGTGATTTTTCACTCAATTCGTATAGTACCAATCAACACCAACAACAACAAAAAAGTCAAGATTTTTGTTTTGTTCTATATTCGTTTACACAATCGACAAAAAACAGGAAATCAACAAAGTTTAACATTGTGATTTGGGTTTTTTATGCTTCTTTTAGTGGAGTCATATTTGCAATTAATTTTATAATATAATGTTGGTTTCTGAAACATTTTCGGATGCGGAAGCATGTTTTGAAGCAAGAAAACAAAAAAAAATAGTATGTAGACCGTGTTTGTTTAGCAAATGTGTTTTAAAGATGAGAATGAAAAAAAAATGAGAATGATTTTTTCTTAAGGAATTAAAAAACAATTAAAAGTTATTTTTCTTTTTCTGTTTGCACTTTCTAGTACTTATCAACAGTGTCATATTAAATAATTAATAATTAATAAATATATAATAATTAGTTAAATATTAATTTCTTATTATAAAATTTATACTTATTTATAAAAATAAATAATAATAAATACTAATTAATTATTAGTTAAAGATTAATTGTCAAAATTTGATTATATAATATATAAATAATAGAATAATCAATAATAGTATGCTAATAATGGAATAACAAATAATAGGTTATAAAATAAATAATTAGTATGTAATATGTAATACATTAAATATATAATAAATAAAAAATACATAAAGAATTACTCAATTAATAATTAATATTATATTATAATAATTAATTTTCAAATATACTAGTCAATAATAACTAATTCCTTAAAAGCAATAATAATTAATAATTGATAATTAGTAGTTAATTATTATTTGAAGAATAATTACAAAAAATAGATCACATAATTTATCAAATGATAGGTTATTAAATAAACATGAGTAATTAATTAGATAATTATTTAATTATATAATTAAAAGTTAATTATTTAATTAGTAGATAAAATACTAATAAATTATTGATATACTAATTTATTTTTATTTGTACAGTAATTAATTATTTATAAACTTGTAATTATGAGTATATTACTAACAAAATAATTACTTATAGACTGATTATTAAATATTATTTTAAGTATTTACTATTTTAAGTAATTAATTATTAGGTGTTATCATGTCTTTCTGTTTTTTCTTTATAAATTGAATGACAATTACTTATATTTTAGTGGAATTATATAAATAATATTTTTTTACTATGTTGAGTGATATTTCTCATTTTTTCCCTTTTCAAAAGATTACTAAATGGGCCCAATCTTATATAGGACAAAAAAATATTACATTTGTCGAGCTAAAGACATTTCCATATCTATAGATTATATAGAAGAGGGAATGCCTCATTTTCTACTTTTGTTCTTCAACCAAAGGGTGTATGTGTTTTTATTTTTTCAATTTTCATCCATCTTGTATAACATTTTTTCAATCAATTTGTTTCTTCACGTTTGGTAAGTTAATCACGCATACACTTTTCATCCAAGGGAACAAATGCAGCCACATTTCAAATACACAATTTATTTTTCCAAGCTAATTAATATATAATAATAAACCTCATATATATTTTATCCATTTTTCTAATCTGCAAAGCAACATAATGGCTCATTTTTTGTTCCTTTGCCTTTTTCTTTGGAATTAATAAATCTCATTTACCTTTCATAAAAGATTATAGTATAATTAGGCACATGTTATAGCTTTTGTAGTACAATTAGTTCCTAAATTTTATATTTTTTTAGTTTTGGTCCTTAATTTTTACAAGTATATCGTATTTTGGTTCTAACATTTACAATTTTAAAGTTCAAAGTTCACAAGTACATCGTTTAAGGCCCCGTTCATTTCACTGATTCGAGTTTTGCTACAGTAAAAAACTCTCACAAACAATCACATCTAACTTTTTTGCTACAGTAAAAAGCTCTCACATAAAATCACATCTCAACTCAAATTAAAAACTCGAATCAGCGAACTAAACGGGCCCTAAATGTACAAAAGTTTTGTATTGGATTACTATCACTTCTCAATTTGCCCCCCTAAAATTTAAAAATTCTCTCTTTGCCCCATAAATTTTAAATTGTTCTCACTTAACATTTTCTGTTGTAATTTTTATTAAAAAAAAGATAGAAAAAGAGAGTAATGCAGTCATGTAGTTTTTATGTTTCTGTTTCTGTTAAAAATAAATAGATAAAAACAACATGACAACACTTAACTCTTTTTTCTATCTAATAATAAATTTTTTTACACAAGGGCTTAAATGGAATAAATTTAAAATGCATGTGCAAGAGTGAGAGTTTTTAAAGTTTAAGCAACAAATTAAAAATGACCTTAAAATTCAAGAGACACTAATGAGATTAATCCTGTCGTATTTTTTAAAATTCACAAATTATCGTATTATATAACTTAAATGTCTGAAATTTGTAAGTATCAATATAAAATGTGTAAATTATCGCATTCCGGACACCAAAAAAAAAGTTTCGTTTTACCTCATCAAATAGAATTCACAATTTTTCTCTATGTTATTTAGCCAGTTAGGTATTTGCCTGGATTCTTGTAACTCGTCAATTGTGGGAATAGAAAATTAGAAATGCTAATAACAAAAGTGTTTAAAAAAATATATGGTAAAAAGATGGTACAATCAATTGCGGTTCCGCTATGTGTGTGTTTGGAACCGTCTTTAAAAACAATTTTTACATATTTTGAGAAGTAAAAAATGAAAATAAAAACGAATCAATGCTTATTTAACAAATATTTTAAAAATTAAAATAAAAATAAAAACAATGAAAATGATTTTTATAGAGAAATTAAAAAATAGTTAAAACTTGTTTTTATTTTTCTATTTTCATTTTTCTTATCAATAATATTATAATATATTAATTAATAAACGCAATTTTACTTTTTATTATACTCAAAATAATCTCTTAAAAAACTAACCAAACACAATTTTAAAATCAGTCACAATAATTCTCAAAATAATCTAATTTTACTTTGTATTAAAAATAAAATTATTTTAAAACTAATTCGAAAAGCACGTACAAATTCCAAAACCCAATAATAATTAATATAGTCTCATTTTCCTCCTACGTATAAACACAATATATAGTGAAATAGTAGTAGCAAACTGGCTATAAATATATATATATATATATATATTTATATTATATCATCAAAAGCTGTAATCCGATTTGATAACTCTCTTGCTCGTCCCACCTTTCTTCATCAACCCTATCCCTTCAACAACGTCCTTTTCTTCTTCTTCTTCTTCTTCTGCTTTCTCTTCAACGACGTCGTTAAATGCCGGGTGAGAGAGAATACTGTTGAGCAACCGGGTCCCTCTCAAAGCGTTCGTCAATGGCAGATGCCCCTCGGGAGTATCGCCGTTGATCTCCCAGACGAACTCCGTCGGAAACGACCTGTAGTTGTAGTGCTCGAACTCGGTGCTGTCTAGCTTCTTCATCCACCGGACTTTGATGAAGAATCTGGTGAAGTCGTTGTCGACCTTGTTGAAGATCTTTTTCTGGACGCTGTACCCGAATTTTCCGTCGCTGAAGGTTCTCCAGAGCTCGTCGATGGCTTTGAGGTCGGATTCGGGGATGTACTGGACTTCGGAGAAGAAGACGTAGCCACGCTGCTGGGCGGCGTCGCCGGCGAGGGCGATGACGAGGCGGCGGGTCTCCTCGTCGGCCTGTCGGAAGTCGGCGGCGGCCAGATGGCTGCGGAGGAGGTCAAGGGAGGTCGAGGAAGCGGCGGCGGAGAAAGAGGAGGAAGTGGTGGTGGTGGCGTTTGGGGAGAGAGAAAATGTGAGGGTGGAGGAGGAGAGAGAAGTGAGTTTGGTTGTGTGGGTGGTGGTGGGTTTGAGAAAGAAAGAGGGAGCTGCGTCTGAGGAATGGTGGCGTTTGAGGAGAGAGTGGTGGTTGTGGGGTATGGAGTGGAGAGTGTTTGTGGCCATTGAGGAGTGAGAGAGAGAGAGTTCTAGAGAGAGAAATAGGAAGAGAGAGATGGGTTTGGTTTTTTCTTGGGTTTGGCTCTTTTTATTTATTTATTTATTTATTTTTATTTTTGTGTGTTGGGTAATGGTGGTGGAGAGGTTTGGAAGAAGAGAATGAAAGAGGGAGGAGGGAGAGATAAATAGATATGTGGAGGGAAGAGGAAAGATAAGATATGAGTGAGGAAAGGAAATGTGGAAGAGATCAGCATGTGAAATATAATGGTGGATTTTGATTGGTCAGCTGTGGCTGAGACTGGATTTTCTTTCTCCTCTTTTTCTTTTTCTTTTTCTTTTTCTTTCTTTTTTTTTTTTTTTTTTTGGTTTTGTCTGACTGGCATAAATTTATATCATTGAGTGTAGTTTTAATAGTTAGTTCAATATTTATCTGTTAATGGATATTATTTTTTTAATTGTAAGATATTAATATGATGGTTGTATATAAGTTAGATAATTTATATAAAAAAATTAAATTTTAATACTTAATGAGTAATTATTAATGGAACTATAACGTAACCATTAAAAACTCGTCGATTTTTTTAAAAAAAATTCTTAATTTTTCAACCAGAATAGATACTAACAAAGTAATAAATTATTTTAAATAGAAAAAATAACGAATTAACGTTTAAGCTGTAATTTATTTTATCATATGGTGTGATAATTTTATGCATAAAGTATTTAAAATAAATGTTTTATATTAATTAGATTGATATGTGAGAAAAGAATAAAGAGGATTTTATAAGAGAAACCACTTTCAGAGAAGAAAAAAATAACCCTGATGAAAGAAAGAAATAAAAAAAATGATAAAAGAATTTAAGACAACCTTATTGAGTCTTATTCACTAAATAAATATTTTTAAAATTTTAAGTGATATATAAAGAAAAAGAAGGGGCAAAATAGATAGACCATATTTTTGTATAATAAAAAAGGGAACTCATATATAAATATATATAGTTTAAAAAATTAATTATTGTATACTATTATTATATATAAAAAAAGTTTTCTGTGAATTATATAAAAAAGGTGTAGCTAATTATAACTAATGGTTTAATATATATGAAGGTGAGGAGGAAGAAGAAGAAGACATATTAAAACATATTAACACAAGAAGGCAAAATAGATGGGTCAAATTTTTGAATAGTGACCAAAAAGAAACTCCCCTTTATAATATAGTAATAGATCTAGTATCTTTTTCCTCAAATTTTGTTGCAAGGAAATTAATTATAAAAAACAATTAAGGAATTTCCCTAAGATTCTAACCAAGATTTTTTTTTTTTTTTTTTTTAGGCTCTATCAGAAAACATGTCTATAAAAATAATGAAAGAAAGAAAGCTGAAACGAAGAAAAAAAAAAATTTCAGATTTACAACAACAGTATAAGTTTTTTTTTTTTAAAATGAAAAGTATAAGTTTTATAAAAGGGTCCTAGTTAATCTTCATTAATTAAGCTTTATTGTCGGCCATTAAGGAATAACTGTTCCTTGTGAAAATGATTCTTAGGATTGTAAGTCTAATCAATGGTCATTTAGAAGATCATTATCTTATGATTCTTATCTTATCTTACACTGCTAAAGAAATTGTGCCCAAGAAAAAAGAAAAGAAAAGAAAACAAATGTCCTTTTTTATTCAATCATTTGTTTGTGTTCTCTCTCTTTTCCCCCTTCCGGGTGGGGTACAAAAGAAAGTGAGAAAAGCGAATCGTGGAATAATGAGGGAATTCCGACAAAATAAAATTGTATTTTATTATTTGAGAGAAAAATTCTCCAATTCCCATGTGGTTGAGGTTGATGGATAAGTAAAAAGACTCATTTTAATTCGTTAATTTAAATTTTTAATTCGAGTTAAAATGTAATTTTATGTAAAATTTTTTTATTATAATAAAAAAATTAAATACGATTATTTTTAAAAGTTTTTTATTATAATAAAACTCAAATTCTAAACTTGAACCGGTGAAATGAACAAGACTAAAAATAATAACATAAAATGAACGGGTGTCCTCCACAATTCACTTTATATGACGTGATATTTTTTTTAAAGCAAATTATAACAAGATCAATACACAAGGGCTTATTTAGTATGCAAAATTAAGGAAGACGGAATAGAATTAAATTTTAATGCTGTGTTTGGTGAACATTTTTAAGAGTTAATGCTGTGTTTGGTGAACATTTTTAAAAGATTGGATTAGATAAACTTTTATCAGCTCGTTATTAATTTTAATCCCCTTAGAAGGGATCGTTGTTATCCCTAACCTTTGACTTTTACATTGTGAAAAACACTAGAGACCTATTTATAATTTTTATAAAATTTGGAATCAAAATGTAATTTTTCAAAAATTGGGGGGCAAATTGCAATTTTTATGAGTAAAATATGTAAAAAAAAATTATATTTTTTCCCCTCAAGTTTTGAAAAATTACAATTTAACCAAATGTCAAATCTTTTTACAAAAATGCCCTTTTCCTAATAACACAACACTAAACATCGGATTGGGTTAAACTAAAATCGAATAAGATCTTTCTTATCCGTTGCGATCCATTGCCCAAAAATTATGCTATCCAATGTGTTCCTATCCTGCGCACCAAACGAGGCCAAAATACTAACTTGCACAGCCTTAAATGAACGTGTATTTAACAAAATTACGTTATTTACCTAAAAGAGAAGTCCAAAATACGGGCTTGTTCTTTTAGAGTTTAACTTGAGTATACTTCTTGAGTTGAATTTAAATTATATGAACTTGTAACTTGAGTTTGTGTTTGATTGTGTATATTTGAGTTATGGTTTGAGATAATAATCTTTTTGAGTTTGTGTTTGAGTGAGTCAAAACTTGAATTTGTATTTAGATAGTATTTTAATAAAAACTCAATGCTGATGAAAAATTTTAATAGGGTATATGGGTCGGATATTATTCGTCTTTTCTTGTCAACGCATAGAAAAAAAAAGCATCTCAATCAGAATTAAAACGAAAAAGTTATAGCATTTTTAAGAATAAAAAAAATATTATTCATTAATTTGAGTTCGAGTTTCTGAACTCGAGTTAAAGAGGAAACTTGAATTCGAGTTTAAGTCCTAAACTCGAGTTTGAACTCGAGTTTAAACTTAAAAGAACATGAACTTGAATAAAATTGTAACTCGAGTTGCCTTTTTTTGAATTTTTCACTAAAAAAAACAAGCCCGTAGTTTTCTATAACTCAAAATGCAAGATATAAAATAACAAATAACCTACCTATCTACTATAAAAAATGGAAAATACATATATACCTAGAAGCATCAGTTGCGTGAAGGCCGCTTGAGGTGGTACGAACATGTCTAACGTAGACCGCTAGAAGCACCAATTCGAACTTGAGACGACATTCTTATACCTAATACTAGAAGAGGGCGGGGTAGACCAATAATTACGTAGACTGAAGTAGTTAAGAAAGACATTCTAGATCTAGGCATTCAGGAAAGTCTAATTTTGAACAGAGCTGTGTGGAAAAGTGAAATCTATATAGCCGACTTTAATTAAATTGGGATTAAGGCTTATTGTTGTATATATATCTTTTTACTGTAATCTAACGACTATGACTACGAAACCATAGTCTATTCGAGCATAGACTATAGTGGGGACTCTAGACTACGGTTAATAATCAGTTTAATGTCAGGTATTATGTGGCCTAAAGGTCTCTTATTCAACTATTTAGACCATGTTTGCTCAAATATAAAGGGGTCAAGTTATCATGATTATTTCTGCTATCCACATAAAGTCATTGTCAATTTTATGATCAGGAACAACATTGCCAAAAGCCAAAAATTTAGGATCAAAGTGTCACATTGCTATTTATTCTAGAGTACCTGTGCTAATATACCCTTCTTTTTTTTTTAATAAAAAGGTTTCCTAAATTTTCTTTTCTTTCTATTTCTAACATAATACGTGGGTGATGGTAGTAATCATCAGTAAGTATTCACCCATGGCTACCAAAGAAATTGATATCATAAGAGAACATCTATGATTAACATCTTTAAGCACCAAGTATATAAAAATGAAAGTGAGTACTGAAGAAAAGAGCTTAGCTTGCCTAACCGCCTTTGCTTCTTCTCCAGACTGGTAAGAGGGCTTCAAACTAAAGGTCATATACAAAAGAACTTGTGTCCAGTATTGACATTACTTGCTATTAGACAAGAAGGAGAGAGCCTGTCAATCATCCCCAAGATTAATGTTATAACAACATGACAATCGGCGAGCGGTTCCGTCAGCCAAGAGACCATCTATCATCTCGTATTTTTTGTAATTCTGTTTCAGGCTTTCTTCTTGCTGCTTCGTGAGATCCTCTTCTTTCTTTTGTTGTTGCTACAAAAGGAGTAAAACTGTGAGCATAGTGACAGAACAACAGAACATTCTAAAGGACGGTCTTGTATAAATAAACAAGAGTACTGTGGTCACAAGCTAATTACTAAGTACACCAGATTACCGTATGCATGAACGCAGCCTCAGCAGAATGCTTTCGACAAAGGTGCTTAAGTTTCTTGGCTACCTCAAAATCGGGATCACTTGGGTCAACCCAACGAAATTGTAATTTTCTACCAGGCTTTATTGGACGATCATCAAACATCTCTGCTTCTGCATGACGTGCCCTCACGGGCCTTGGCATCCCGGACATCATGAAAGGGAACTGTGCTAGCGTTGAGACAATGGAAAAGGCCTGCTTTGAGGTCTCCATTTCTATGAGTGCGCACTGCGGAATATTTCCTGGCACCAAGTAGTTTGGAATAAACTGTATATTTACAACAGTCCCAAACTGATTTAGAGCAGTTCTCAGGACAGATTCCGTAACACGTGGTGAGAGGTTGTCAATGTACACTGTGCGTTTAACCTTATCTTCAAAGGCAGCATACTCTTCTTTGTTTGGAGTCCCCATGCAGAAAATAAGATCTGCCAAAAAACAAGATCCAAAATGAAGAGGGAAAAACTCAGTACGTTCACTCCAATATCTTTGTCAAAGTTGAATTTTAGTTATTCGAATATAAAATTGCACATGCATAAAATAATCCTAACATTAGAGCTCAGAGAAATAAAGGAAGCTACAAAAATAAAGGATGCTACAAATAAAAGCACTTATATGACACTCCGATACCAGGAAAAATGTACAAACTAATATGAAACTTTAATTCCATTCATATTTCGTAGGACATTCCACCACAAAATCATGTTAATGTGGTAGCGCCATTTAATCAGGAATCCATATTTGTCGAGGAATTTCCACGTAGATCAATGTAATATACCTCGTCTCTCCTATTAGGTTTTCACAAGATTAAAATTTCTTTTTTAATACTTAAACTACCTTACAATGTATACGAATCCCCCATATTATGCAATTCTTTTACTTTCTCCCCTTTTGAATTAAAGGCAAACAAAGAGCACACAGAGAGCTAATAGTCTATATAAAAATTGGATTGCAGGAAAATTGGATTAGACAAGTTTTCATTTCATTCACATTCCCTTTATCTCCATCTTAAAGCTCTAATTATTTATGTTTCTGTGTTTTTGCCTTTTGTTAAAACTGGCAAATTAATTTTTTAAAACTTGTTTAAATAATTTCCAGGAAACTTACCGCTATTGTAATAAAGAGTTCAAAACATCTTGGACTTATTAACAAGGGTTATTCAAATGAAAAACTTGTGGTAATTTGACTAGAAAATTCGGAGGAAAGCCTAATACAAGAGCGAGGACTCTATTCATCTACACGAAAAATCTAGTCAACTTCCTATGGAATTGAAAACTCAAATCGGTGAAATGAACGAGGCCTTGATATTTTTGTTTAATTCCAACATTGTCTAAAATGCTAATTATTATTATTTTTTTTAAAAAGAAACTATTAATGACATTAGTATATCCCAGAAATCATTACCAAAGCATTTAATAGAAGCTAGCCAAAATGACAGCTTATAACTCTAGCCTAAATCTCATAGATCAGCTCAGTAATTGGACTGAAAAGTGAAATGGAAATAAATTCAAAAACTGATTCTGAAGGGGAAAATATGAAAGGCGTTTGGTTGTGGTAGAAAAATAATAAGAAGAAAGAAAGAAAAAGAGGCAAACACAAATAGAGAAATCGCAGAGTAGATTTTTGAGCAGCCAATCAAGGACAGAAACAGAAATCTAGTCATGGAAGAACAAAGCAATGTTTGGAGCAATAAATATAAAAATCGATCGAGCAACAAGAGAGAGAGAGAGAGAGAGAGAGAGAGAATACCCAAAACGAATCAGTGAATGGATCCGCTCTACAATTCCTTTCAACCAAATTCTGTACCTCAAACAAAGACACCTTGTTGTGAACCCTAATTTCCTACTGATTTCCTTTTCCTCTTTTTTTTTTTAACCTAAGAGTCTTTTTGTTTGGCAGCTATGGTCTATAATGATGATCAGAAGGCTATTTTGTTGGGCCTCTTTTTAGCCTGAGGGAAGATTGGGTCTATTTTGGGACCTACAGATCCAAGATTAGCCTTATTGGGTTCATTTAAATCTTATATTCACAACTCGAGGAGAACTTGAGTTTACAAGTCATGTGAGAGAAAACATTATAACAAAAAATTTAAATTTAAATTTTTGTAAGAGAAAACATTGTAGCAAAAAGTTCGAGTTGTGAAAAGAACATGTCCTAAACTTGTAAACTTGAGTGAACAAAAAGTAATAATATCATTATGGACTTGCAAATTAATGTGCAAATATCACAACTTGTTAACATTCTTTTTCTCATTCCCTCCGTATTGAACACATATGTAATCAACTCTATTCCATATTGAAACATATTTTATTGATACTCTAAACTGTTCAAAATAATAGAGGACAAGAAATCCTCTAGAGAAACAAGAACAAAAACTAAACAAGTAGAAATTAACAGCTACAAACATAAAAACACATTTCCAACTCAAGAGAAATAAAGAAAACTCGCCATTTTCGTTTATTTTCTTTTATTGCAGGGCACAAAGTGAGAGTTTTCAATATTTAGAGGGGGAAAAGAGGGAATGACCCCAAAGTTCAGGGGCACCAGTGAGATTAATCCTTTCATCACATAACAAAATCAATTAAAGTATAATTGGATTTTTCAAATACTGCATCCAGTTCTAGTTGGATAGTCAGATAGGACAGGATAATCGGGTTAAAGGGTGAGATTTTTTGTCCCAATGAACAACACAGAAGAAGGCCTAACATATGTTTAACTTTTAATACAAGTCTACAACACTAAAAGATACTGAAGTGATACAGATAATGATATCCAAAGAAATATAAATCGAAACAACCCAAGAAAAAAAAAAACAATAATTACATTCCCCACTAAAGGAAATCAAGCATTGCCAGGTGATTTCAATCATAATCCATAAATGCAAAAAAAAAAATTTTGATTTTGAGAAGAAGGCAAAATTGATAAATGCAAATTAATTAAAAAAGAAGTTTGCCAGCAAAAAAAAAAAAAAAAAAATGAAGTACCAATTATGTTACAACCATATTGGATTTGCAGAGAACCGAGCAATGTTTTCTTTACTAAATAGTGCAAATCAAGGATGAACCCTAAAGGACTCATCAACAAAATATTGGAAGATGAGAGATGAGAATTTGGGAATGGACTTACCAAACGACAGAAAGAAAACGACAGAGAGCGTTGATGCGCAGTGTGTCGAAGAGAAATTGGGAGAGAGAATTGAAATGTTGCAGCTAGGGCACGAAAATTGGAGAGAGAAAATTAGTGGCAAAATCAGAAATGGTAACAGGTCTGCTAGGGCACGGAGGTCACGGGAGAGAAATGTGGGAAAAGGGGGGAATGGAAGAGGATAAGCAGGTGTGATTTATGACCAAAATAGGAAAATACCCCCCTACCTTGTAAAAGTGTCGCGTGAAAAATAACTTTAAAGAAAAGAGAAAATCTATGGTGTAGACCCGTGCGTGTTTCTAGAGTCAAGTAAAAGTAATAATTAGAAAAAAAAAAAACTCATGCAGTTAACTAAGTGATTGTCCCGTTTAGTTCATAGATTAAAATTATGTGATTAGAATTATTTTTAATTTATGTGTATTTTTTATGAGAGAAAATATTATAGCGAACCACGAATCATGATTCGAATCAGGGAACGAATCCCTTTACCAAACGGGTGATTAGTTTATAGATTCAGAATCATGATTCAAAATTATTTTTGATTTACGTGTATTTTTTATGAGAAAATATTGTAACCCACAACGAATTATGATTTAAATCATGACACGAATCTACCAATCAAACACACTTTAAGAGTATGTTAGAGTCAAATAAAAGTAATAATTAGAAAAAAAAAATTATGCAGTTAACTAAGAATATATTCATTTGTACAAATTTGAGTTGTGTATGTCAGAGAGAAAAATACTATAGTAAAAAAATTGAATTTAAATTAAAAAAAATACTGTAATAATATGACTTGTGTCATAAAATGAACAAAACTTAAGTTAAATAAAAATGAAAATCAAATGACAAACTACCATTAAATAAAATAAATGCGAAAAATAAATAAAGAACACTAAAATTTATAATTGTTCACTTTCAACAAGAGGTACGTCCACTGTGTCTGATGGTTTCACTATAAAATGACGGAGTTACAATTGTGCTCGAGTACAAGTCATGATTAATAATAAATTTAGGCAGGGTATTCGTAAGTGTATGACATGAAAATCCCCCTTTCGAAGTGTATGCCTCTTCTATTTATAGGTTTGGTGAATGTCGTGATGTAGTGACATGAGATAGTGGATAGTTGTCACTCCTCTCCTTGGTTGTGGGAAACTAAGTGGAGTGATGGTGTGAGGTAGTGGGTGGTTACCACGTACCCATATTCTCACATTCTTCAAGTGATGGACATGGAAAACTCACACCCATAAAGATAAGAACGGTCTGGGAGAAGATAACTGCTCTAGTACGTGTAAATGGATAGGTGCAAGTAACGAGCAATGAGCAACGAGCAATCGAGCAATCGAGCAACGAGCAATCAAGTAATCAAGAAATCGAGCAATCAAGCAATCGAGCAATGAGCAATCGATTAATCGAGCAACGAGCAGCAGGTAATGGTCATCGAGCAACGAGCAAGGAACGATGAGTTAAGAATGACGAGCTGTGAGTAGTGAGCTATGAGAGTCGAGCCGTGAGCGGTCAACCATGAGCTGTGAGAATACTCATGAACTTCAACAAGTCCCAAGTGCCCTGTGCGCATAAGATGGTGAGTGAGAAAATAGTTCTCCTAAAGTCACAAGCAACAAAGTAGTTCTCACAAAGGAAGTCGAGCATCAAGCACACTGTTGGGTGACCGTTGACTATCCCGAAGAGAAAATGATGAGTCGAGTATCCTGATGGGTGACTACTGAGTAGTCAAGTAGGTGGTTAATGAGAGGCGAGTACTCAGGCGATGACCATCATGTAGCCGGAGAGGTGATTATTGATTGGTGACTAGCGACAAGTAAGATGTGAGTAATCATGCGTTAGGGGTGATCAAAAACCTTATAGAAGATGCATTGGCCAACTTACTGACAATCCACTAGTGAGTAGTCGATTTAGTGACTATTAAGTATCAAAACAGGGAACTATCAGTTGGCGAATAAATCAATAGATGAAT